CCGGGGCCCCGCGGCCGACGACCGCCTCTCACACACCCAGCCCCGACGCGCAGTGGTTGGGACTGCGGAGGCGACGGGTGTCCGCGTTTCCATCCAGCTCTCACGCAGTTCGCCTTCCGGGAGAAAAGTGCTCATTCTGTAAAGTAAACAAAACTCTGAAAGCAGAATGGCTCCCCAAAGGGAGTGCTTTGGTTTTTTGGTTTGTTTTTTTCCGAATTCGAGTCTTACTCCAAAGCCCAGGCTGGAGTGCAGTGGCACACTCACGGCCTCCACAGCCTCAACCCGCCGGGCTCAGGCGATCCTTCCGCCTCAGCCTTCCAAGTAGCTGGACCTACTGGCACACACTGCCACACCCGGCTAGTTTTTGATTTATTGCAGAGACGAGGTCTCGCCAAGTTGCCCAGGCTGGTCTCGAACCCACGGGCTCAGGCCAGCCACCCGCCTCGACCTCCCAAAGCGCTGGGATGACAGGCTGAGGTACTGAGCCTGGCAGGGAGTGGCTTTTAATTTGTCAGGAAGTAAGTTAAGGCTGTCTTTATTGCCGAAGTAGGTAGAAGTCCATTGCTTGCTGATAGGTCACCTCTAGTGGCCTCTTCTTTCTAGAATAGTTTCCGCCTAATTCCAGCACCCACAGAGGGTGCCTGAAACCCCCTGAAGTTAGGGAGCCATGTCTAGGAATTGCTTTTCTACTGGACTCACTTCATTATGCTTCGAATTCAGAACACCGATTCCACTAGAGCCAGGCCTGGCTGTGTTTCCAGGCTCTCTCAGAATCCGACAGGGTAGAGATACCTTCAGCCTGCAGATGCGTGTCCGTGTGAAGGGCGTTAGCGTGTGCTTGCCTGGCTTGGCGAGCCCCAGTGCCTACGAATGTCCCTGCTTCTCGGTCCCATGCAGTTGTCGATGTCTATCAAGGCTGGTGTGGCCCCTGCAAGCCTGTGGTGAGCCTCTTCCAGAAGATGAGGATGGAGCTTGGCCTGGACCTCCTGCATTTCGCATCAGTAAGATTCTCTCTCGGTAAAAAGTCATACAACACTGTACAGTGCTTTTTTATTTTTTTTTAATTTTTTTGAGTTGGAGTCTCACTCTGTCGCCCAGGCTGGAATGCAGTGGCACGCTGACAGCCGCCACCGCATCGACCTGCTGGGCTCCAGTGATCCTTCCGCCTCAGCCTTTCAAGCAGCCGGAACTACAGGCATGTGCTACCACGCCCGGCTAATTTTTTGATTTAATGTAGAGATGAGGCCTGGCCAAGTTGCCCAGGCAGTCCTCCCACCTCGGCCTCCCAAGGTACTGGGTACGCCCAGGATGCCCGCCACACCCAGGGTGCCTGCTGTGCCCAGGGTGCCCACTGACAGCTGGTTTTCTTCAGGCAGAAGCAGACTGTCTTGAAGTCCTCGAGAGATACCGAGGGAGGTGTGAGCCAACCTTCCTGTTTTATGCAGTAAGTACATGTTCAGAATCAGAGCTGTCTGATGGCTGCAAGTCCTTGGAGTCCAAAGAGATGCGTCTCGCTGGCATTAATTTTCTCTGGGTAGCCTCACACATGCAAACAAGTGATGCTGTTTTCTCTGACGCCTCCCCAGACGGTTTTTATTATGTTGGCTACACACAGAGCCTCCCTAAGTCGACGTGACACAGGCCCCTGGCCAGGATGGTGGCGGACACAGCTCCCTGGGGGCCACTGTGGTTGCCTGGGACAGCCTACCGGGCTGGCTGGACACAGCCAAGGACCAGGAGTCACTCAAGGGCACATGCTCCGAATTGGTTTCACCCGCAGAGTTTCAAGATTTCCCTCCTTTGCGCCCTAGCGGGGAGCTTTTGGCAAGCATGAATGCTCCCTTGTGGGGCAGACAAGCTCCGCGTCCCTCTTTCTTTCGTCGTAAAACGCGGAGGCGGGGGCCAGAAGGTCAGAAACGAGAGGGACTGCTGGGGAAAGCCAAGGGCTCAGAGCTTTGGCAGTACAGTCAGGATGCCCTCAAGGGGGACACCCAGCTCCAGGGCCCCAGGCCCACTGTCCCCGCTTTGCTGCCAGGTTCAGGCCACCGCCAGGCCCTGATGGCAACGACTGGTGTGCTGCCCCCGACCCAGACCAACCCCCTCACGGCCCAGGCGGAGAAACCGGGTTCTGCCCCACCCCCGCCCCATGCCTCCTGATGGCCAGGCCAGGGCTGCTCAGTTCGAGAAGCTTTGGCCTCCCAGCCTCAGCACCGAAAGGGTTACCAACTAAAAACCTAGGATAAACCGGCACGAGAGCTCCAGCCCTGAGCAGGGAGACTGAAGGCGTGTGATGGAACGTGCCTGGGGAGGGAAGGAGAGATGGGAAAGTGCTCAGAGCCAGCCACACGGGCAGCAGAGCTCAGCTGCAGAGGTGGGCCGTCTTCCCAGCGTTGACCGCTTGGGACCGAGGTGGCGAAGGCACACGTCATAACCGGCTGTGCGGGACCAGGCGCCATCGTCTCTGACCCCGCGGCAGTGTGTGGGGCAGATGGAGAGGAAGGTTGACCCGCTCTGTGTGAACTTTCCCGCTCCAGTTCACTCCGTCGTGAGTAATACACGTAGAAGGTTTTGAAAACATTAAAGCGGGGCTGGAGGCGGTGGCTCACGCCGGCAATCCCAGGACTTTGGGAGGCTGAGGCAAGAGGATTGCTTGAGCCAGTTCAAGACCAGTCTGGGCAACGTCGCAAGGCCTTGTCTCTAAATTAATGATTAATTAACTAATTTTTTAAATAAGTTAAAGCAAGGTCAGGCAGTGGCTCAGGCCTGTAATCCCAGCGCTTTGGGAGGCTGAGGTGGGAGGATCACTTGAGGCCAAGAGTTCAAGACCAGCTTGGGCAATACATGCCTGTAGTTCCAGCTCCTCCGAAGTCTGAGGTTAGAGGATCCCTCGAGCCCAGGAGGTCAAAGTTATGGTGAGCTCTGACCACGCCACTGCACTCTGTTGTACCCGAATCCTGAATCCGAGAGACCACCAAAGAGCCAGCTCCGATGCAGATCACATGAGGGTCTTTATTCAGGCTCGAGTCTGGGCTCACGTCCGTAACCGGCGCAGTAGTACGGGAACGAGAGCCCCGGCCCAGCGCAGCAAGCAGCTTATATACACAGTTACAAGGGAGGGAAAGGACTTTAAACTTGTTCGCACACGATTGGGTAATTTCTCCTACTGGGTACGGGGGGTTTGGGATTGGTTGGTTTGTAGGGTCGCGTCGCGGCTGACCGCGGCTGACCATCAACGGTCAGGCGGGCTGGGTGGAACCAGTTGGGACATCTGGAATGTGAGATTACTAGGGGAGTGGAGCAGGAAATGGGGCCAGAGGGTCTGCACCGTGACTCCGCGGTTTTCTTTTGGTCTGTGAACTTGTTTACCAAAAGTACACTACTGGGCTTGGGCGGGAAAGCAAACCTACATCGGAGTTTTAAAAACAAGTTTCAATATACATTCAGAATGAGCTTGAACCTACGCTTAAAACAAGTTTTATCACCCAATTATGAACTAGATGGCCCTTGAGCTCCTCACACTCCAGCCTGGGGGACGGAGCTAGACATTGTTTCCAAAAGATAAATTTTAAAAAAGTTAAAGCAGAACACAGGTTCTTCCAAATGCCACTTCCACCGTGACATTCCCCCTGACCACCCCGGAAGATGCTGGGGATGCCTGCCCTGAGTTCCAAGCACCTTGTAAGTTCCCCCGGTTCGGCAGTGGTCTTGCTGTAAATGTTTCTGTGGCACGACCACGGCTCTCCCCACTGCACTCCCCGTCTGTGAGGGCTGCGATGGTGTTTTTTCGTGTTTAACGTTTATAATATTCTTTGTCTGTGCCTGGCAAAGGATTGCAGTCTCGGCATGGTGAGGACTCCAGACTCGCTTGTGGAGTGCTGAAGCCACATGTGAGCCGTCTGGGTCACTCACACCTTGCTGGGCGCTGTTGCCCTTGACTGCTGTGGTTGCCCTGAGGGAGGCTTGACGGGCGGACTGGAGTGGAGGGTAGAGGTCGAAATGGAGCCGGTCAGAACTCGGAGCAGACCTGAGGGTGTCCTGCCGAGGCGGAGCAGGGGCACGCGCCCTCATGGAGAGCACTGGGCCTGGGTCGAGGGACCTGGGCCTGGGCACACTCCTCAGCACTGTGCTGGCTCTTGAAAGAGTGGCAGTCTGCAGAGAGGCTCTCCCGCTGTCTGCAATTCCAGGGAGGAGAGCTGGTGGCCGTGGTCAGAGGCGCCAACGCCCCGCTGCTGCAGAAAACCATCCGCGACCAGCTGCAGGCCGAGGAGAAGGTGCTGGCTGGAGGCGGAGGCCGAACCGTGGTACTGGAGGCCACGTCCTGGGGCGGCAGGCGCGCGGGGCCCACCCCTCGCCAGGGCCCCTTGGCCGCTCCATCGAGCCCCACCCGGGTCTGCTCCTCACGTGGGCCCAGGAGAGCACATCCCACTCGCCATGCCTGTGCCTGCTGAAACCTGGGCGAAGTTGCCCCGGGCACGAGGAGGAAATTGAAGCCCTCGTCCCGAGCCCTTGGCTTCTTTTCTCTGCTTCCGTGGCCCCCCTGCCCCCCACCCCCACTTCAGCTCCCAACAAACACTCGAGGAGAGGGTGGGGGAAGTCGGGCAGGGGGCGCCGGGGGCTCTTTCAGCCGGGCAGAAGCTCTCCCGCCACCCACCTGCCCAGAAACTCATGAACCCAGAGGCTTTGTGTCTGTAGTTTAGAAGTTAACGAGCTGCGTTTAATTCAGCGCAGCTTGTGGTCTTGGTAAGCCGTCTCCGTGGTAGGAGACTGAGGTCTCCCCGGCTGCCCTCGAAGACGGGTCAGGGCGAGAGGCACTTCCTGGCACTCTGTGGCCTCCCACCCTCGGCCTGGTTCTGTGTTCGCCGTTCACGTTTTCTTGCTCCATGCCAAAGAGCAAAGCCTCGTTGCTCTAGAATGGATTGAAATCAAATCCTGTCTTCTCCCAAGAAAACTGGCAGTTTTCCCCCGAGAAAGAGAAGGCAGCTGCTTACCTGTCCACACGCCTCCCCCAGGGAAGGCGATCTCTTCGCTCCTTCTCTGCGCTGTGCAGCCAGTCTCTTTGCAGCTCCTTACGTCTCGATTCTTCCTCTGTCTTCCTGCCAGCTCTCCACCTCCCCTTAGGCACGTGAGGACAGGCCGCGCCCAGAACTGAGGATAGCTGTGGGGCTTCCTGCCTTCCAGCCCTCTCGTCCCTCACCGACACTGCAGCAAATGGGTCTCAGGGTCTCCGAGACTCTGATCCCTGGGGCTGTCTGGGTTTTGCTGTGTTTTGTGTTTTGGAGCAGCAGGTCTGCGGAGGTCTCGGTGGGATGCTGGTCAGCTAGTGACCTGCTCATGACCATCCGTCCTAGGTCAAAGACGAAGCCCTGTCTGACGAAGATGCGGGCTCTGCCCACGGGAAGGACAGCGGCGGAGAGGAGGACCTGGGTGAGTGCGGAGCCCCCGAGCGGCGGAGGGGCAAGGCTGACTCAGATCGGAGCGCGTTTCACACGCACGGTATTCGGTCTGCTGATCAGCCTGAGCCCGGAGGACTTCCAAAAGTGGCTCGGAATCCCCTCCACCTCCCCCTCCTTTTTGAAAATGGACACACAAGAGACAGACACGGGGTTGGGGTATGTGAGGTCGTTTGGCAGACTCATACAATCAAATCAGACGCTGGGGACATTCATAGAGATTAAATATCCACTTTTTCTTTATGCCAGGAACGTCCAGATGATTTCCCTCTGGCCGTTTTGAAATGTGCCACGGTGGATGCTACTCGTGCCCTCCTGGCCTAGCAAACTCTGGCCGTCTGTGTGTCTGTGCCCTCGCCCCCCCCAGCCCCAGCAGCTGGTGTCCACTCATCTGCTCTCTGCCCCGTGAGAGCCGCCGCTGCAGTTCCCACATGACCGAGAAGGCACGCGACACTCGCCTCTCGGTGCTTATTTCACTCACCATCGTGACCTCCAGGCGCATCCACGTGGCTGCAAAGCCAGGACTGCACCACCTTTTAGGGCTGAATACCATTTCGTTGTGTATGCATGCCATCTTTTCCCTATCCGTCATCCAGTGATGGATGTCCAGGTTGATGGCACATTTTGGCTGTTGTGAATAATGCTGCAGTACACATGGGAGTGCAACAGCTCTTTGAGATACTGATTCCTGCCTTCTGGATGTTCGCCCAGGAGTGGAGTTGCTGGATCATACAGAAGGGTTCTTTCTAGTTTCGTGTGTGTGTGTGTGTGTGTGTGTGTGTGTAAGTAGGATTGACCAAGAAAAAAGAAAAGCTCCCACGGTGGGAGAGGATAAGAAGGTGTGAACCCCTTTCTAGTTTTTAAGGACCTTCCACAGTGGCTATATGCATCTATATTCCCACCAACAGTATATGAGCATTCCTTTGTCTTCACAAGTTTGCCTTGTTATTCCTTTAACTTTTGGGGATGAGAGTCACCCTAATGGCGTGAGATGACCTCGCTGGATTTGGATTCACATTCCTCTGATGATTAGTGATGTTGAGCATTTTTTTCAGTTACCTGTTGAGCATCTGTACGTCTTTTTTGGAGAAATGTCTATTCAGATCTTTTGCCCATGTAAAAATCAGATTATTTGAGTTTTGGGCTTAGATTTTCATGTTGTATTTCCATTTTCCTATCTTTGAAGACGTTTTTTAATTTCCTTCTTAATTTCTTCATTGACCCATTGGTTTTCAAGGAGCTTGCTGTTTAATTTTCAGGAGCACATCTGTGGAGTTTCTGAGGTTTCTCTTGTTCCCGATTTCTAGTTTTATTTCATTGTGGTCAGAAAACATACTTGCTGTGATTTCGACTTTTCTAGATAAGTTATGATTTGTGTTGTGGCTTACGATATGGTCTACTCTGGAGAATGTTCCATGTGCTGATGAAGAGAATGTGCGTTCTGTAGTAGTTGGGTGAAATGTCCTGCAAATGTCAGTTAGGTCCATTTGGTCTGGTGTGAAGTTCAACACTGACGTTTCTATGTTGGTTTCTCTGTATCGTACTGAGAGCGATGTGCTGGGGTCCCCTACTCTTCCCGTTTTGCGGTCTCTCTCCCTTTGTATCTAGTGGCGTTTGCTTTATGTACTGGGACGCCCTGGTGTTGGGTGCAGAGATACTTATAATTGTCTGTTCTCTTGCTGAATGACCCCTTTATCACTAAATGGTGCCCTTCTCTCATCTAATATAGCCACTTCAGCTCTTTTCCGGTTTCCACTTGTATGGAATATTTCTTTTCTATCCCTTCACTTTTAGTCTCCGTGTGTTTTTATAGGTAAAATAATAGGCAGCATGTAGTTGGGTCTGGTTTCTTTATGCATTCAGCCACTCTGTGTCTTTTAATTGGAGAGTTGAACCCATTTACATTCAGTGTCATTACTGAGAAGTAAGGCCATGTGTACTATGCTATTTTGTTGCTTCTTCTCCTGTTGCTTTGCTACTGAGTGATTTTCTCTGGTAGTATGTTAATTAATTGCTTATTATTTTTAGCGTATCAATATAGGTTTTTGCACTGTTAACAGAAAATATAACAAGCTATTTTATACTTCCCTTAGATCACAAAATTTTATCTTAAGAGATGACAAATGAAAACATAACAAGCTATTTTATACTTCCCTTAGATCACAAAAACAGAAAAAAAAAACACAACAACAACAGAAAGAGAATTCTATACCCTAACTCTGTCCTTCCAAAACTTTGACTTTCTGTCACCTCTATTTACATATTTCAAATACATAAATTTTAAATATTTTTAATACGGCTGCCATAGCCTCTGTTGCCTTTGATACATTTGTCTTTTAGGCTTTATGCAGAGTCGTGAGTGGGCTGCACACTACCATTACAGGATTGGGGTATTCTGGGGTTGTCCTCATACTTAACTCTACCAGTAGGTTTTATGCTTTCACATGTTTTCTTTTTGCACATTGATGTTTTTGTTTTGTTTTGTTTTGTCTTTTTCTCTCAGACTGAAGAACTCCCTTTAACATTTCTAGAAAGCCTGGTCTGTGGTGGTAAATCCTCTCAGCTTTTGTTTGGCTGTGGAAGACTTGATCTCTCCTTCGTATTGGAAGGATAGCTCTGCTGGACACAGTATTCTTGGATGACAGGCTTTTTTCACTCAGCATCTTGAAAATGTCATCCCGCTGCCTCCTGGTCCGCATGGTTTCTGTTAAGTCTTTTGCTGCCAAATGAATGGGATGGACTCTGGGAAGATTTACCCTAGAATACCTTGTCTCTTATCAGCTGACTTCAAGCATTCTGTGCCCTTTAAGCCGAGCACGTCACAGCTTTCTGGTCATGTTCAAGAATGACAGGTGTGACTTTCACAGCAATTATGGGCATCAGAAAAAGCTCTACTTAATAAAATGGAGGGTGGTCACACTAATTCTTTAAGACAATGATTCTGCTATTTCCTTAGTCATTTGGGCTAAAAGCTCAAGCTTCTTTTTCTACCTCTTTCTGAAACATCAGATAACCTTCCCTTCCCACAGCCCTGTCTCTTGGTAATATTTGAGACACCAGGGAAACCCGGACTGGGTTCAGGAACCACACTCATAAGAAGAGGAAGCAGTTTTACATCATGACATGAAGGAAAAGGCTGGTTTTTTGTGTGTAGATAACAAGGACTGTTTGAGTTGGAGCCTAATGCAGAGTGGCACGTAGCTTAGGAGAGCAAGAAAGCGTCCGGTGTGGAAGGACAGTCGGCGGCTTGGCTTCTTCAGGGAACGCTGCCGCCCCTTTTGCGGTGTCTTCTCTTTCCTCCCAAATCCCGTAACTCCCACCTGGAACACCACATGAAGTCCTGCCCTGCCCTGAGCCTTCCTCTCATTCACAACCAAGCCTGCTGTGCTCTGCCCATACCGGGCACCCTCACCTTCCACTCTTGCCCTGACCTGCTGCGGTCTGGCCTCCGCGCTTGCTGCTCCCTAAAATGGCGCTCCCCAGGGGCACCAGTGGCCTTCTTGGTGCCACATCCAGCAGGCAGCTTCCGGTCCATGTCCCACAGGGTCCTTCTGCACAGCGGATGGTCTCCATGATGGCTTCCTCCTCAGAACCTTCCTCTGGCTTCCGAGTTGCCATGGCCATTCTTGTTTCCGTCTGTCTCTGGCCTCTGCTTGGCCTCTCCCGCAGTAGCTTCTTTTCTGGTGCTCCCCTGGCAGCTGGAGCTCCCAGGACCCTGCTTGGGTCTCTTCTCCTTTTACACCTCTAGGCTCCAGGGATGATGGCATTTATGGCCAGAGTCTCTGAATGGCTAAGAATTCAGAGCATGCCAGAAATAGCAACCTCAGAACAAGTTAACAGATCTGTTGCTTGAAATGTACACGTTTTCGAGATTTTCGGAGTAGAAAGCTCTTCTTAAATGCAGGTATTGTCTCATTGCAAAACAACCCGTGTAGAAGCTGAGAAACAGAAAATAAGTAATGGGGGAGCGTAGGTAACTCACCAAGGCCAAGTCATACAAACAGGAAGACAGTGGAGACAGGCTCCTGGACGAGACACGGCCCTTCCTGCAGCTCCTGCAGTTGGAGCGATGGCCTCTGGTCCCGCGCACCCCCTCGTTGGCACAGCTGATCGGGCAGTGGACGCCAGTCCAAGGGCAGTCAATCAGTAGGCCAGTCAGTGAGCTGAGACTGGTGCCTTGACTCGAGCCAGCAGGCTGGCCCCTCTGGCTTCTCTCGGGAGAATTTTAATGAAGACAGAGAGAACAGAAGCTGCAGTCTGGCAGGGTATGCTGGGACTGAAAAGTCATGTCGACACAGGGCCTGGGCGGCCATCTCTGGCCACATGGCAGGAGAGGCAGGAAGAAGCAGAGGACAGGAGCCGGGAGCGGAGAGGCGAGCACGGCAGACCACAGTCAGCCCCAAGCGTTCCCAGAGGGTGCCGCCCCACTCCAGCCAGGCCAGCTCATTCAGTTGTTCCTGGGTGGGTGTCTTTTCCCAAGCAGTCCTTCAGCAATCCCGTCTCCCACATTCCCTCTGCCACCCACCCAGATTCATGGAGCTAGTGTCTGAGTCTCTTGCAGGCAGGCTGAAGCTGCAGTCAGGAGTCAGACCCCTGCAGCCACTCGAGACCAGGCTTGCAGGGCACGGCGAAGAGGCCAGGGAGGGAGCCCTGGGAGCCCGAGCCTGAGCCTGGTGCACTGTCTCCGTGGGGGCCTCCGGAGAGGCCTGATGCCAGCATCTGACGGCACCCTCCTTCGGCTTCCTTAGTTTCATCAGAAAAGACCTGCACCCTGGCGATCATTAAACCAGAGGCCGTGGCCCATGGAAAAACGGAGGAGATCGTCATGAAGGTGAGCGGCAGCACTCACCCAGCACAACTGCCCTCGCGTTCTCTCGGGGGATAAAGGGGTGGCACGGGGCGGCGGCATCCTAGCAGAAAGACGCCAGCTAAGGGGTTGCAACTCCAACTCCACCCAAGTCCACGAAAAGGTGAGATCTGGTTGGGCACATACTGTGGGGTGAGGGCCCCACGGCTTTGAATGTTGCCTATCTTCATTTTTTACATTTTAACTAAGTTAAGTTGAATGTGGACTTGGTTTACCCTTTTGGTCTGTTTATTCTACAGATCCAGGAGGCTGGGTTTGACATCCTAGCAAATGAAGAGAGAACCCTGACAGAGGCGGAAATGCGGCTTTTCTACCAACGCAGAGCTGGAGAGGTCAGCTGTCTGCCTCCATGCGCTCGGCATGCTCTCCTTTCTCTCTTTTCCTCCGACGTTGTGTCTATAGATTATGTTAGTTTGGGAGAAAACAGAATACCATGAAGAACAAGAATATGGGCTGTAGCGGGCTAGAAATGGCCCTCCGAGTGATTGCAGGGGCAAAACAGGCTGCAAGGAGAGATTTCGACTCTAAGTCGCGAAACGGGGGATTTATCAGGCCACTGCATAACCCGCAGAGTCCAAGGAAGAGCTTAGCAAGAAGGGCGCGGGGTCCAAAGGAGCCAGGCAGGCCTAGAGACCTCAGAAGCAGAGCCTCACGCCTGCCGCTTCAGACGCAGCTTTTGGATGCTCAGACCCAGCCACCTTCCACTTGCTTCTGCTGATGACTCGCCCGCTTGGGAGTCTGCTGGGCATGGCTGGGGTGCCTCTCAGGTTAGGGGGGTGTGTGTGTGTGCGTGTCTGTGGCTGCCAGTCAAGCTGAGACCCAGGAAAATGGGGAAGGGCTGCTCCCCAAAGGACAGCCAGAGGGCTGTCCCTCGAAGGAGGAGGAGGGTCTGCCCGCACCAACTCCGTCCCAACCCTTGGCTGTCCAGCGCCCACACCTCTCTCCTCATCTGATTTCCACACGTGGGCTTTGGAGCCCCCCCAGCTAACTTGCTGTGATCGTCTCCTGTCCAACCCGGGGTGGTTCCACTGAAGTCTCCTTCTTCTGGGTCGACCGCCCCCGACACCCTCCACAGCGGGCGGAGGTGGCCACGCGGGCCAGGCGGCGTGTCCCTGGCATGCGTGCCGGCTGGGGCAAGGCTGCCGACTCCCTCCCAGATGCGGGCCGCAGGAGGCCCTGCCCGGGGTCACCCTTTTCCTCCCTGTGTCCAGGAGGCCTTTGAGAAGCTGGTGCATCACATGTGCAGCGGACCGAGCCACCTCCTGATCCTCGCCAGCACTGAGGACGCCGAGGACGTGGTCACTGCCTGGCGGACCCTGATGGGGGCCCTGTGACCCTGGTGTGGCCAGGAGAGAGCAGCCTGAGAGGTGATGTCCCCGGTGACGATCCTGCCTTCCTCCTTAAAACCCACATCCCGGGAAGCCGAGAGCCCCACTTGGGTTTGGCTCAGAATCGTGGATAGCACGCAAGGCTCGCTGATGGCCGAGAGCCCCCTCTGTTGTGCGTCTGGGGAGATGACATCGCCCCTCTGGTCTGGTCTCCAGCCCCTGCTGCTCTTGGGAGCTGCTCCTTGCCGCGCTCCCCTCTCCTGCCTTCTTCAGGCTGCTGCTGGATCGGGTCTTCTGCCGTGGCTCTCTCTCTAGCCAGAGGGTCGCGTGGTGTGCTTCCGGGGCCCCGTTCAAGCCTGCTGGGTCAGAGACTCGGGGTGGGGCCTGAGAATCTGCACTGCAGCCCCAAACACTTCCACCCCTACTCCGCACCCAGGGTGTCCTGCGTCCGAGCACCGTGTTTTGCACACGGCGCTGGGAGTGTTTAGCCTGGCGCCAGCAAAGCCAGATTCACTGTGTCTCGGCCTTTGAAGCTGAGATGCCAAGACAACGGGAAAGACATGAGTAAGAGGCCAGCGGACTGCACCCCTGCCTTGTGGTTGGAGGGAGCCAGAAGCATTCATACCAGAGGCAGGCTGGGCTAGTGACAGATCGCCAGGGCTCAGCTCTTAGGTCAGTACTTAGACACGTCTCTTCTCAGCCTTAGTTCCCTGTCAGGCGGGCTGTGAGCCATCCGCCACGGGAGGCTGTGTGCACACCAACACGCAGAGCTGTGCTGGGTCCATGGGAAGGCCTAGCCGTGTCCGTGTTATCTTATGGGAGTATTGCAAGGGTCAGCCATGCAAAGTTACGTCAAGAACTTGGCGTGGCACTAACCCTTGGTCGTGACATTGACACAACAGCAGCGCCTGTGCTCACGCCGTCCCTTGTGCTTCGCTTTTTGCTGTTGGGGTCCCCCTCTGTCATCCAGGCTGGGGTAAACGGGCACAATCACAGCTCACTTGCAGCCTCAACCTCCTGGACCCAGGCAGTCCTCCCGTTCAGCCTCCGGGTAGCTGGGACTACAGGCCTGTGCCACCCACCTGGCTCATTTGTTTATCTTTATTCTCGTAGAGGTGTAGTCTTGCTATGTGGCCCAGGCTGGTCTTGACCTCCTGGCCTCAAGCAATCTCCAGCCTTGGCCTCCCAGAGGGCTGGGATTCTAGGCGTGAGTCACACTGCGCCTGGCCCGACTGGAGCATCTTTAAAATGGGGACAATGGCTGTCTGCCTCATAGGGCTCTGGCGAAATGCAATGAGATCACGAAGGTAAAGCGCCAAGCCACGTGCCCACGTGCTGCCAGGGCCCCCAAAATGACAGCTACTGTTAGGTCACCGCTGTCCTTGGTACTTCCTGCAGAGAGAGAGCAGTTTCGCAGGCATGTGGAGTGCAGATTGGTAGTCGGTGACCATGTCGCCAAAAAGCAAAACATTTCAAAGGAAATAACCATTTCTTTTACATTTTGCCAACGCGTCCAGTCTCCGTGCTCAGTACGGCACAGAAATGCCCCTCAACGCCGTCCATGGCAGCCAGGACAGAGAAGCCGCGGACAGAGAACTGGCCCTGCTCTTCCCCCGCTCCAAGTTCGCAAACGAACATCCAGGAGCCCCTCAGGGTAAGTCAAGGCAGATGTGGTCCTCAAGAAATCGGAGGCCAAAGGAACTTGGGACTATGTGCTCGATTGTGGGGGGGCTGATAATTATTTGGTAACCGTCTTCAGTCTGATAAATTCCTGTTCTGAAAATAGCGTCGTCCTATAACTCCAGCATCTGCCTGCTAAAGCGTTGGTGTTGCCTAGAGTAAGTGTGGCTGTTTTTTTTTCGAGTTGGAGTCTCACTCCGTGGCCTAGGCTGGAGGACAGTGGCACACTCACAGCCACCCCAGCGTCAACCTGCTGGGCTCCCGCGATCCTTCCGCCTCAGCCTTCCGAGTAGCCGGAACTACGGGCGCGCGCACGATGTTGCCTTTTAACCATGTGACATTTGTTGCTGCTGCTAATTGTAGTCACATCTCCCCTGCAAAAGCACCTTGTTAGCATTTCCCTGTGGAAACCCCGGGAGCATTTAATGAACTTGCAGGAAGCCGACTCCAAAGCCAGTCAGAGGCCAGGGGCGGCTCCCTCCCGTCTCTGTGCTCCGCAGTCCCAGCTAAGCCTGCTAAGCCCCGGGGCCTCACTGCCCCCAGTCCGGCAGTTTTGGACCTTGCCTCCGGGGGCGCTCACGGCCCCTGGGCATTCTGAGTGGGAACCCCAAGGCGTCCAGAGCCGCCTGAACTCAGCCCATTCCATGACCAGTGGCTGAACGGCCAGGCCCATGCTGTGCCTGCCATCAGGGCGGCTGTGTGTCTCTGGTTTGCGCCTGAGGCGACACGGAAGGTGCTGGGGAGGACTGTCCCGGGAAGAGCCAAAGCGCGTGAGGCTGGGATTCTTGGGAGGCCACGTGCTGATCTGAAGGAGTGCGACAGTCTATGGCATCTGAAGGTTTGGGTTGCAGCTAACACATCCGTCTGCATGTTTGACAGCATCCGTGGCTTCAAGGTCTGAAACCAGCCAAGTCAGAAGAGGGCGGGGCGCGGGGCGGGGCCGGGGCTGGCCCTTGTTCTGTCCTTGCCGCTGCAGCCCAGGAGACAAGATGGTCTCCCATGCTGGCAGAGAGCACCTCGGAGGTCAGGGAGGCAGGGAACCTGGAAGCGACTCTGGGTCCAAGACCCACGGGCACACCCCCTCTGGAGGGCAGCCCCCGAGGCCTGTTTTCCTCCGTTTCCTCCGGGACCTGCCCCAGACAGAGCCCATGGTGCTGTTGCTTGCACATATCCAAGGTCGTGGAACCACCCTGCCCTTTGGGGGTGACTGGAGGCAGACCCGTGGAACTCAGGGCCGAGTCTGGGCCGGAGGTGGGTGGACTGGGAGACACCCCCGGGGCTGCTGGGGAGCGGGGGCGGGGTGGAGGGTATCGCGAGCCTGGCTTTCGGGCCGCAGGTGACATTGGGCAAAGGCGACAGGTCCGGAAGGGCCTGGGCCCAGCCACGTTCTGGGTGCAAGTGCACAGCTTGCTGTCCACACGGCCTGAAGCAGCCACTAGGGTGTAGACATTCTGCCCGTCTGTTCTGACGTGTCACGCCGTCTCAGTGTGGGGTCAGCCTGTGTCCCCGAAGTGCCCAGCACTGCTCCTGCCAAGGAAAAGGCGCCAGGCAGGCGTCCAGGGCTCCGGTGACTCCCTGCTGAACGGCCTCCGTGACGTTACCGGCCTCGCGGGGCCTCCGTCTCCTACCTGTGAGATGGAGGGGATCAGAGACCACAAGCGAACAGCTTCCTAACCCTGACCTTCCTCACAGGGCTTCCAGTCCACGCTTGGCCTGGCGCTCGCCTCCAGTCCCCAGTCCCCAACACCCGCTGGGGCCCCTCTGCGGCTGGCCCTGGCCCTACCTCCAGCAGCCGCGTCCTCGGAGCTCGCTCCCTTCTCCTGCTCTGCGGACGGCGGGGCGGGACTGGGCCGGCGGCTCCGGGAGTCCTACAGGGCGTCTGTCTTCCCGCAGGCAGCCAGGCTGAAGGCACGGCAGGCTCCCCGAGGCGTGTGGCTTCCCCGAGGACGCAGACTGAGGGCCGCGCGGGACAGAGCACGGAGTCTGCCGCACAGGCGGGCTCAGGCCGGGACCTGCTCTGCCCAGGACCGGCCCCTTTCTGACCTCGCCGTCTTGTGTGGACAATGAGAGTGACAGTGTAGAGTATCCTGCCCTATTAAACAGGACACAGAACACACACGAACTGGGGTTTTTTTTCTGCTCTGAGATTTTATCGACTAAACAGACATCGGCCGTAAGTCTGCCGTGAGGCACGGTGTCATCTCAGAGGGCACCGGGTTGCGCGAGACGGTGTTTACCCACAGTAAACCGCATGGACTCAGCGGCGCTAGAGCTCAGCTTGGTGGCGAGGAACTCGGCAACGGGCGGCGAGGTTGGCCACGAGACTTCCAGGCACACGGCGTGGGAGCAGCGCCCTCCTGCTGCCGCCACGCCCCACGGCCACCTAGCGCTGCCAGGCCTGCCCGTCTGGGTTCTCCGTGAGCCTGGGCTGCCCACAGCACGGCGCCTGGAGGCCCGTTGGGAGCCAGGCCTCCCCTGCCTTCCTGCGCCCCCCTTTGGTTTCCGGTCCCGGCTCAAGCCTGATTTTAAGGCCCAAGAGCTCCCGGTGGGGCCAGGTTGCCTGCAGCTTTGACTGAGCCGCCCGGCTTGGTCGTCCCTCCGTGGTCCCCTCTTGAGGGACACAGGCTTTCAGGACAGAGCCCCTGCGAGGACGCCCCGGGAGGGCTGCCGCCCGATGCCGCCCCTCGCCAGCTCGCACTGTGTCACGCGGCCCGGCCCGGGTACTCTCTCCAGAGGAGGCCGCCGAAGGCGGAGGCCAGCGATCTCCCCGCCACTTGCGGGTCTCCCCAGGCCCCTCTTGACCTGGCCCTGGGCTCCCAGAGGCCTCTGTGGAGCGACACACGCAGTCGGCCCAGCACGGGGCCCTGGGCTGGCTCCGGGTCCGAGCGACGCATCCGGCTGGTAAGCGAGGCCCGTGCGCTGGGCGAGCATTGCCGCTTCTCCCACGGCCTGCGTCGCCGTGCGGAGACCCACACCCACAGGGCTCCTCGGGGCCTGTCAGGGCCCCACACGAAGCAGTGAGCCCTGCAGCAGGACCTGTCAGGAAAGCCGGGCCGCTGCTTCAGACGGCACCCGGCCCGCCAGGGCCGTGCGCGTCCCCGAGTGGGCTCAAGGGCAAGGCCTGCGCGCGGACACCATGGGTGGCACAGCGCGCTCTGCCCGGGCTCCACGCCACGGGTGTGCGGGCCCTGAATGTGCCACGGCGACGGCCGAGGCCCAGGAAGCCCAGGACCGCCCGTCGCTGGCCTGACGGCAGTCGGCGCCACCAGGCCTCGGGAGGCAGATGAGGCGCCGGGTGACAGAGCGGGGAGAGCGAGGCGAGCCCCTCCTCCTGCTACAGGTGCCCCAGGCTGCGGGGGTCCCCACACCAGAGGCGGCTCTTCTCACGAGCGTCCAGAAGGCTGAGGCGTCAGGCAGGGGCTGAGGCGAGCGGGGCCTGAGGGGCTCAGACGTCAGCCCGCTCCGAGAGGAGGGACCCCCTGGCAGGGACCCCGGGCCTGTCTCCCACAGAAGCATCCGGGAGGCGCAGGACAGGTGCTCTCTTGGGTGTCCAGGCCTCTCAGCCCCCGGGCGTGAGCCCCTGGCCGGGAGCTCGCGAAGTGGAGGAAGACGGTTCCCCCGCAGGGCGGCCCTGGCTCTCCACGCAGCAAGGGGGCCGACGGCCGGCCCAGCCAGGCGGCGGGAGAAGAGGGCGCTCAGTCACCCGCTCCATGATCCCTGGGGCTTCCTCAGCTTCCCTGAAGCCAGATCCTGGACCAAACTTCCCTCATGCTGGAAATCAGCCTGTGCCTGTGCCCGGCGACGAGGGCAGGTCGGCGCGCGGGGCAGGATGCGGACGGCGCCAGCCCGGCTGCTGGTGACAAGGCGCTGCGGCCTCGGCCTGGGCCTCGTCCGGGCCGAGCGGGAGGGCTCTTCCCTCCTCGCTCCCGAGCCTCACACTCGTGTTCCCAGCGACAGTTACAGAAAAGGGGGTGCCCAGCCTTGCCCCTCGGCTCTCAGCCTCAGCCGGGCCCTCTCAGAGCTTCCCTCCACGAGAATTCCTCCCGTGAGCCACCCGCTGTCCTCCTCCAGGCCCCGGCGCAGGTGGCCTGGGCTGTTTCCAGTGGCCCCGCGGCAGGAGGCGCAGTCTGCCTCTCAGCGACGGACGAGACGGCGGTGCAGTGAACACATGGGGACCAGCGGCGTGTCCCCGCAGAAGGACAGCAGCTGCGGGGGCACAGTGAGCTGGTCACTTGCCAAACCCCGGGTGGGAGTCCGGAGGGCGGTGGCAGCGGGGGCGTGGCATGCTTGGGGGTGGGGGAGGCCTGGGGGACCGCCGAAAGGGAGAGGACCCCCAAATGCCACAGGCCCCCCGGCAGCCACGGCCCCCCCAAGGCACCAGCCCCACTCGGAAACGCCAGGCCCAAGTCCACTACCTTTCCTTCGCCAGACTCGCAGGCTCCAGAGGCCACTGCGCTCTCCTCCCTCGTCCTAGACACTGGGAAAACAGACTCCTTTTAGAAGTTGCCGTGTTTTTCTTGGCTTTTATTAGCATGTGTTAAAATCATATTAACCAAACACTATCAGAAGAACATGGATTGTTCTGAATAAAGTGCTTAAGGAAAAAAAATGCAACTTATTAAACTGGACATTCTCTTCTAGTTTGTAAGTTTTGGGTTACAATCAGGGCACAAGAGGAGAAACAGAATGCAGTGTTAGAGCGAGAAGCCGAGTTAAGAGCTCAGTGCAGACACAGGCCCACGCCCGCTCTTGCCACTTCCTTGCTGACTGAACACTGCACCTGCGTGGAGCAGCAAACAGCTTTGCTTTAATAAATACGTTTCCCTTCATTCAAATCAGAAAAGCTAACTACAGTAAAGTATTTTTTATCTGACCTTCTGTCTGTGCCCACAGGCAAGGTTTGCCTACAGAGCTCATGTGTGGAAAGCGTCATCACGCTGGGCCTTCAAGTTTTAACGCTATTTGGGTTCAAGATTGTCTCAGCAGTTCACTATTGGCTTTTTCTACTAGCTGGTACTTTTCAATACCAACACTAGTGTTTCGAGTTACAAATGCCAGCCAAGGGTATTTTCGCAGTACTAGAAACGCGTGGCCTAATTAAGGCTTTATTTTCAATAAACGAGGTTTTCTCTGAACAGGTTTCCTCACATCAGCACTCTGCTATCTGCACAGGCCCCAAGTCCTGTTGTGGCAGATCTCAAAGCCAGTGATGTTCTGAAAACATAACCACCTGGAAATCTGCATGTGAATCCTGGGTGGCTATGTTGAGGGCAGGAGAAACCGCAGGAAATACATCTTAAAACATTCGTTTGCAACCAAACACACTTAAGTCTTCCAGGGAAGGTGCAGGGTAGAGACGGGAAGCTGCAGCGCGCGCAGCCCGTCGGGAGCGGCTGGGCGGGCCTGGGCCCGGCAGCGGCACACACTCACCGCCGGCGTCTGGAGCACAGAGCCTGCATCCTGGCGGTGACGCCGCCGGCCTTCTTCGAGCAAAGGGGGAGGCGGGCCGGCTCTGCGAACAGTCGAGGGCCACCTCTGTTGAGTTCACCGGGCAGCTGACCCAGAAGTCGGAGCAGGTGCTGTGGGCTGCAGAAGAGCTGACCGTCCTCGCTGTAGAAAGCAGTCGCCTCCTGTCGTCCTGGGGAGAGTCGCTTCCCTTCCTCCAACTTGAGCACTTTCAGCTTCGCGCAGGAAAGGATCGCTGCTGCACCGTCTACTCAAACGTCCAACTCCTTTTACCAAAGCACACCAGCGAGCAATCCTGAGCGACTAGCATGACATTGGCAGCGTACAGCTAAGAGAAGACCGCTTTCTAAATTACCCTTTTCTCTGCTTCTTTCTACAGATGTGTCTGTCAAACGTTCTTTAGTTTCACAGTGATGTATGCTGTTTCAGGAAGCACAAGGTGATCTGTTTCCAGGAAGCGATGACCTGTTTTTAGCCGGCGCGTAAGGTTCCAACGGCAGGATTCGGGCAGTCAGGAGGCTCTCGGTCCCCCATGCCCGCCCCGCGCAGCCCACCAGGTCTTGGCTGGGCTCTCGCTAACAGCAGTCAGGTCTCCCTGTGATGTTTCCAAAAGCCCGCAGTGGTGCAGTGAATCTGTCGCCTCACTGTATTCCTCCCTGTCCGTCTGACTTGGAAGCCTGAGAACGTGTTGAATTAGGCTGAAAAAAGGCTCTTGTACCTGCTAATGTTGACGGCAGTAAGTGCTAGCTTACTATTTTGCACAGCACCATGTATAGTGCCTGTTATTCAGGCCAACTATAGCCAACTTTTTCTTTTTTTTATATATATATAAAGAAAATCTATGTAAGTTGAGGTTCAGAAATGCATATATTTTTTACTTACAAATATTCATCTGACCAAAATTCAACATAACCTTTATGGAACACTTAACAATTGTTTTGTTTTTAAAATAACATTTCATTCAAACTGTATATAATTCAGTAAAGTTTTTTATACAGCAAGCAATGCTTAAACCCTGGAAAATCTGTAGAAAAGAGATTTTCACACAAAATAAGAAAAGAAAAATCTGAAGTATCCCTCACACACACATACACACCCCCATCCACTCCGGCCCACGTGCATGCACACACACACACGTGGCGCCTGTGTGTCCACACAGACATGTTCATTTTCACACACAAAGTGGCTGCAGCATAGGCAAAAAATTGTAGGTCCAAAGGAAAATGACTGATTGTTCTAATAAAAGAGTCCAGGTAGCTCAGAAAAAAACCAAGACAAAACACAAGAGTCCTCTGAGGAAAGCGCTCCCTCTAAAGAATGTTCTCACGACGAATCTGAGACCTAAGCCTACGAAATTGCTCTTGCAAAACAGCTCCCTGCAGTCCAAGGTGACTTGTGCAAATAGAAGGAATCGAATGAGGCTAGTTCCTGAACTTCCTTAAACAAGGATGTGGTGCTCACAGCTGCCAGGGGGCGCTCCCGTCACGCCAGGTACTGCTGCAGCGCCGTCTTTGCCCTGAAATCACAAAATTCCCGTTAGCCATCACCCCAGAACTGCAAGTGTGGGAAAAAGCCCCGACGATGGTAGCTGGAGGTCTAAGAAGCAGATCCCAGAGGGGGTGGGATGAGCCCAGCGGGGCGCCTGCCTGAGAGCAGAGGCCCACAGCGGGCCCGGCCGGCGTCTCACGCACGGCCTGGCCGCGCCCTCCTCCTGTGGTGCGAGAGCTGCTCTTGCCCCTCGCCCCGCCAGGGCTCGGTGGCGTCCTGAGCCCCCCGCGTGTGCTGACGCTCCGCGCTTTGCCCGTCACTGGCATGGAGCTGTGACGGGTCTGAATTGCTGACTTCCTCTTGCTGCCACGGAGGGGTTTCGGAGCGAGGCACACCCGAGGGGAGGGCACTTAGGGTCCCGGAAGCTGAGAGGAGGACTGCCCAGGGAGGAGGCACCGCGGTACGGAGCAGGTGTGTGGCAGGCCACGGGCCCAGGGGCGAGGCTGCTCAGGGTTCAGAGGCCTTGGACTGGGGAAGACAGTCAGTTTCCTGTCTCTTCCTCACACCTGGTGACACCACAGCTGACCGGGATGGGATGTGGGCTGGCACGGCGGCGGTCGAGGCGGCCAGGAGGAGAGGAGAAGGTCTGGCGTGAACGGTGACTCATCTCGGGCTCGCCAGAGCCCCCCCGAGCTGGGCCTGAGGAGGCCACCTCCTTCACCAGCGCCACCGTGAGCTTGGCGAACTTTCTCAAGGCTGCGACTGCGAGAGACAGGAGGTCGGCTTGGGGCGATGGCTTCCTTCCAAGCTACGGGAAGAAAGGCTAGCGTTTGCAGGCACCGCTGGCTTTTCAAAGGACCGCCAAGTGGACGAGGCGTGCAACAAGCAGGGCGCGGGTGTGGCCCCTACAGTGAAGCGATGGCTACCATCCGCAGTTTTAAAGTGGAACACCAAGGAGCTTTCTTGTAATGAGGGGAGACTTTGAAGACGACGACAGCTGTAAGTCGTCCCGTCTGCCAGGACAGAAAGCTCCAGACACCGGCCCCAAGTTGAGAGCGCGTTGTGTTGCAGGAGGACGCTTTCAGAAACGAGTTTAAGAACAAGGCCACAGACCATCCACCGGACCCCCAAGGCCACCAAGAGGCAAAGCAGCGCAGCTGTGATGCACATGGGAGTCCTCGGGCGGTCAGAAGCAGCTTCCCGGCAAGTGTGTGAAAGTCAAAGGATCATCAAACCTGAACTACAGACAGAAGGCATCTGAGAGATCTTGTCTGTGTGAGTCCGTCCCACTCTGTTACCCAGGCTGGAGTACAGGGGCATGATCACAGCTCACCGCAGCCTCGAGCTCCTGGGCTCAGGCCATCCTTCTGCCGCAGCCTCCTGCGCCGCTGGGCCTTCAGGCACGCGCCACCACTCTCAGCTGACTCTTAAGCTGTTTTTGTAAAGACGAGGTCTCGCCGTGTTGCCTAGGTCTCCAACTCCTGGGCTCAGACTATCCTCCCGCCTCAGCCTCCCGACGTGCCGGAGGTACGGCCAGGAGTCACCGCAGCCAGTCCAGAGAGATGTCTTCTTCAGGCGACAGATGTCGTGCCATGTGGAAGGTCCACACGAAGGCCTGATGGAAGTCCTGCCCTCTCGAAAGCTGCCCATCCACGCTCCTTCTGGATCTCACCCAGAGGACGGCTGGGTCTGATCACGCCGTTCCCTGTCACCCACCTTCCCACCCCCTGCCGCAGCCTGGGGAGTCTTTCCGACGAGCAGTTTGGAGGCAGGTGCCCTTTCCTTACACGCACTCAGGTTGGGCAGCTCGAAGGCTGGCTCCAGGCAGGGGGGCTTCGGCGCAAGAAGAGCTGAAAAGCAACCTGCCAAGTAAACTCGGGCAGACAGCACCAGCTGCACTGGTCTGAGCAACGCAGGCGAGCCCGGCCCCTGCCCCTGCCCCAACCCACCTCGTGCTGGCAAGTCCTCTTCAGGGCTGGAGACCACCCCAGAGGCGACCTTGAGCAGAACTCGTTTTCACTTCCGAACAGAATGGGGGAAAAGTTCGGCGAACGGAACGGCTGTCAGCCAGGAGAGAGGAGCTGACAGAGCCCGTCACTGGGGCAGCAGCTGTGGCAGGAGAGGCAGAGGTTCAGTCCTCGAGGCTCCAGGGCAGCCTCCGGCATCTGGCTGGACCGAACTCGGATGTGAGCTGCGCGGATCGGCAGCCCCGGGCGGCGGTTCTGCAGGGTTTGTTTTCTTTCGCCGGCGGGACGGCGCGTTTCAGGGAGGCAGAAGCCGGCCTGCCCGGTGCACGCCACAGAGTCTGGGCTGGCCAGTCATTCCAGGAGCAGGCACTCGTGTCTCTTCCCCTGCGTGGGGCAGACAGACGAGCCGGCCGCCACGACACAGTGTGGCGTGTTCTGCAGATGCCAGAGGAGCACAGGGGGATCCTGGAGAAGCCTGCAGGGGCGAGTGACGCAGGGTCAGGCAAGGCTTTCGGAGGCGCTGGCTCGATGCGCACGTCGAGGGACTAATGGCCACATCCGGGCACGCTCGGCCCTCGCTCTCGGGACTCATGTGCCTGCGTCTCTGCTCCTCCGCTACACGTTTTCCGCCTCCAAAACGCTGCTCCTCGGCCCCCCTGGCTCTCACTCGCCCGAGTGACGTCTTCCAGCTCCGCGGCTTAAGCACCGTCCCAACGTGTGTTCCCAGCCTCGCTCTCCAGTGCCTTGGACACCCAACAGGCAGCCCAGAGCTGGCATGCCCACCCCAGGGCTCCGGGTTCTCCCTTCCAGCCTGCTTCTCCCGCATCCCTCACCACGCTGGTAAGTGGCAGCACCTTCCGCCCAGCTCCTCAGGCAGAGCCCTGGGCGTTTTCCTTCCCGCTCTGCCTCTGAGACCCTGCACGGACGCCGGGAGCAAAGTCCTGGCTCCGCCTTCAGATTCGCTTCTCAAGACTGCCACACTCTCCCCGCACCTTTCACTGCACTGTTGCAATGGCCCTAACGGGCCCTGCCCCAGTCCTGCCCTGTCACAGGCCATCCTCCAAGCAGCACCAGGGTGAGTTTGTTTGTTCGTTTCTGAGTCGGAGTCTCGCTCCATGGCCCAGACTGGAGGGCAGCGGCCGCTCCCGGCCCCTGCAGCCTCCACCGGCCGGGCTCCGGCGAGCCTTCCGCGGAGCTGGAACTACAGGCGCGCGCTGCCACACCCGGCTCATTTTTGGTTTATGGTAGAGATGAGGTCTCGCCAAGTTGCCCGGGCGGGTCTCGAACCTGCCAGCTCAGGCCATCCACCCACCTCGGCCTCCCAAAGCACGGGATGACAGGCTGAGCCACCGAGCCCGGCTTAGGGTGAGCCTTTAAAAACTCCAATCAGTTGTCGCCTCCGCTCAAAACTCTCCAAAGACGTCCTAGCAAACGCTGCACCCAAGCCCACGTCCTCGCCTCGCCTCAGGGCCCGGCACGATCCACTCCTTCCATCTGCTGTCACTCTCCAGCCCACTAGTCCTGCGGTTCCTTGACATGCCAAGTTCACTCCTGCCTCGAGGCCTCTGAGCCACTGTCAGCTCTGCCGGAATGCTCCTCTCCACCTGACCCCGAGGTCTCCCTCATCGCGCCTCCCCCACCTTGCCTCGCTTTCCTTCCTGGCGCCTCACTACCTGACCCTGTCACCCAGTCACCTGCTCACGCCTATCTTCCCCACTGGAACGCCAGCTGCGTGAGGGCGCACGCGTCATCGGTGTGTTCGCCACCATCACTCCCAGGCCTTACACAACGCCGGGCAGACGGTGGGCATTGAAGAGCAGCATCTGTCGAGTGAACAGGTCTCAGAGCAGACGGGACGGAGACAGCGCATCAGAGCAACAGAACAGGCACGGCTGGAGCCCAGGCGGGCACGGGGCGTGACGGGAGACGAGAAAGGCAGAGCCAGACCTCGGAGGCTGAAGGCTGGAGGCTGAAAAGCAGACGTTGGCCAGGCTCGGTGGCTCAGCCTGTCATCCCAGCACTTTGGGAGGCTGGTTCAAGACCAGCCTGGGCAACTTGGCGAGACCCCATCTCCATGATAAATCAAAAATTAGCCAGGCATGGTAGCGTGCGCCTATAGTTCCTGCTGCTTGGAAGGCTGAGGAGGAAGGACCGCCGAGCCCAGCCGGTCGACGCTGGGGCGGCCGTGAATGTGCTGCTGCACTCCAGCCCGGGCAACGCAGTGAGACTCCGACACAGAGAAAAAAGAAAAGAGCTGACACGCGCACTTTGCTGTCACACACGAAGTGAGCTGCACAGCGGAGGCTGCTCTGTGGGAGGATGCCCAGCCAGGAGGGGCATTTCCGTCCGTCTGCGAGGTTAGCTGGGTCTGATGGCAACTCCTGCCTCTCCCGGAACGGCGAGCTCTTTGAGGGCAGGGACTCCTCAGTCGTCGCTGCTGTGTCGCCAGCAGCCAGGCTGGCTGGCATAAGGCAAGTACTCAGTGAGGCTCTGAACTAATGAACTCACGAATTGTTGCTTTTTCTGCCTTCCAAGAAGCTACGTGTGTCTCGAGTATACTGGTCACGGGAATGCAAGGAAACAGCATTTGGATCCGATCCACTAAAACGGCCCAGACTCACGTGAATTCAGAGTCAGAGGAGCATCTTTAATAATCTGGCAATTACTCATTTATATCTCACTCAAATGGCATGTAGGTGGTTCACAGAAAATTATAAAGGTAATCTAAGAATCGAAAAGATTTGGAAAATCTGGCCATGCGCATTACTAAATCATTCCAGCCCATTCATCAAAGAATCCCCCACGGCCCAGAGCAAGGCCTTCTCATGCTGATACTCACTTGTCACAAAGGCTTGAATCTGGTGACTGACTCAGCTTGTGCAGGATGTCTACAATGCCCATGTCTCGCAACTTGTCCTGGCGTTCCTGCGAACCTAGAAGATGAAAGCTGGCGGTTACGGGCAGCCACGCTGTGATGCGCAACCAACAACCCGGACAGAGCCTCGTGGTGTCCTTCTCTCCTCGCCCCTCCTGCCCCCTCGGCCCCACCTCTCCTGGCGTAGCCGGATGCCCAGCAGCCTTCGACCTGGTCTCTCTGCCTCCCACGCCTCCTGCTGCAGTTCACTCTGTGAACTGGAGTTCCAGAAGCATCTCTGTGCTGGATTTCTCCAAGGGCTAGACGATCAAAGTCAGAGGTCCAGCCAGGCAGGAGGTCTCTGACACTGATGCCAGCTCTGTCACTTCTTTCAGGACATACTCACAGCCCTGGCTCTTCCTACCCCACAGGTTTTATCCCCGGTCCTGTTGTCTTCTATTCTCCTCTGCCCCCGCCCCGCAGCATTCTTGCTGCCTCTCAGCGCAGCTGGCAGTTTCAACTCCACACTACTCGGTTCCATCTCTTTTTTTTTTTTTTTTTTTTTGAGTTGGAGTCTCACTCCGTCGCCCAGACTGGAATGCAGTGGCACACTCGTGGCCACCGCAGCATCAACCTGCTGGCTTCCGGCGATCCTTCTGCCTCAGACTTCTAAGTAGCCAGAACTATAGGCACGTGCTATCATGCCCGGCTCATTTTTGATTTATTGTAGAGACGAGGTCTCACCAAGTTGCCTGGGCTGGTCTCAGACCTGCGGTCTCCGGCAATCCACTCGCCTTGGCCTTCCAAAGTGCTGGGATGACAGGCTGAGCCATCGAGCCCGACCTGCTCCACCTTCTAAGTAGACCAAGATTCCTTGAGGGTAGCTTTGTCTCCCTGGTCTTGGCATCTAGGTCTGCGGGTTGAATCCAGCTTCCCTTCTTCGTTTTAGAGCAGCTAAGGAGAGTAAGCCCCCTGGAATCTCCTGTGCTGTTATTTTATGTATGTGTGCTTTGGTCCAAGGTTTCTGGCCCAGCACTCCCAGCCCCTGTTATGGTTCTGCTACATTGTTGGCTGTGCTGCTTTAGAGCAGATTCAGGAAACACCTCTCAGACCGCCTCCACCTCCTCTCCCCTTTGGATCGTGGGTCTCAAGACCCTCCATAGAGAGCGTCCCACCCTGCACCTGGGGGAAGGCCCGCTGCCGTCATGAAGCATCCATACAAACCCGAGAAGACGAGCTCTGAGAGCTTTCTGGATGGCTGCATGTGCGAGGTTCCTGGAGGGCGGCGCACCCAGGGAAGGCCTGGCAGCGCCGGGCCCCTCCCCCACACCGTGCCCTGCATGTCTTCACCTTCCTCTGCATCCTTCGCCATATCCTCTACGACAAACCAGGAAATGCATCCCCAGTTCTGTGAGTCACCCTCGCAAATTTATCAAGCCCAAAGCGGGGACTGTGGATCACCACCTTGAGTCCGCCAGAAGTTCCAGAGGGCCGGACGCGTGGCGACGGACTGCGTGGGGCTTGGGAAGAAAGTCCGGGGATGGGACTCAGCCTCCACCTGGAGGACCTGGCACTATCTCCAGGCAGACGGGATCCGGATTTAATCAGGGGACACCCGCTTGGTATCTGCTGCAGAACTGACTGCTTGCTTGCCGGTGGGGAGAAAGCCTCACATGTCTTGGGGTCGCAGAAGTCCTCTGTGTTGACTGCTGTGTGAGAGCAGAGCATTTTCCTGCCACGTGTTCCCACTGAGGGCCTACAATGACCTACTCAGGCGATGGACTTCTCTAGACCTAGGGAACCAGAATCTCCGGGGAGGGAGCCCAGAAAGCTGCATTTAAAAGTTCCCCGGGTGACTCGAATGCCGCTGACCCAGCAATGAGACCCCCTGCTCTCCAACGTTTGTTTGACCCCTCGGCTGTGCCTTGGAATCATATGGAGAGTCTTAAGAACCATTATGCCTGGAGACCGCCCCCAGAAGCTGAGCTGTAACTGGCTCGATGTAAAAATCCTCAGGTGAGTCTCATCTGCAGCCAGGAACGGAACCTCTGCTCTAACGAGGCTCCTGACAGACTGTCCACCGCCCCAGGCACGCTGGACTTCTCGCTGCTCAGCGACGCACCCTCTTCTCCCTCGCACTCGTCTCCTGCTGTCCTCACATGCGCTTCCTCTGCTCATAACGAAAGGCCCACCCTCCACCCACGCGCCTCTCCTCGTTTCCAAGTGCATCTCACCATCCTCGCTAGGCAAGGACTGTCACCTCTCACTCTCACTCCCTGAACCCAGTATCGCTGGCCCCAAGGTGGGGGCTCGGTGGGAACCGTCCAGTCGACTCGTGTCAGCCCCACCGATGCTCATCTCCGGGTGACTCTGCAGGCTGCCCGGGGATGGGGGCCACTGCTCAGGATCTCAGGGGCACCTGCTGCCTTCTCTGCAGGAGGTTCTCTTCCCACAATCTTCTTCAGAACCAATCTCCCCAATCCCTTACCTTCCTCTTCGTTCCATATGAGGTTTGATATGCAAAACATAGCGGCAAGCTGCAGTTTGACATGCGAATGACCCTACGGATGCAGAAAAGGAAAAAAAAAATCAAAATGGTGGCAATCTCACTTTAGATAATTTTTCTGGGTGACCTATGACAGGCAATCCGATAGCCTAAAAGTTGGAAGCAGAGGGCTCGAAGCCCAAAGTCTTGGGGGCCATGAAGACAACGCTAAGGAGTGAAAGGGTTACAAAACGGTGGGGAACCCAGCAGAGCGAGAGTGCCGAAGACATGCACGTTCCACATTTCAAAACCATCTCACTCGCCAAACAAAATTTTTCTGGGGCCGTATGTGTAGCTTGGGGCTTATGATTCACCTCATGCACACAGGAACACTGACAAATGACAATTCTATGCTCTCGATTTAGGCTCGCTTTCAGGTCACCAGCAGCCAGTAAACTAGGGGGATGTGCATTTGGTAAGTATATCTTCAGCTACTGGTTGGTCAACTTATTCAAACGGCCCAGTCATTCCTCTGGGGAAGAAAGTGAATAGTCCGGAAGTTCTGTAACACCTAGGCTTTCTCTCACACACAGTTTATAACTGGCTTGCTCCTTTGCCATCAGTTGCTGAAAATAATTCTTCTTCTTCTTCTAAATATGTGTGGATGTACTTATTTATATTTTGATTTTTAGAGACGGTGTCTCACTTCGTCACCCAGGCTGGAGTGCAGCAACACACTCATGACCACCGCAGCCTCGACTTGCTGGGCTCAGGTGATTCTTCCACCTCAACCTGCCAAGTAGCTGGGACCACAGGCACGTGCCACTGACACCCGGCTAATGTTTTGATTTATCGTAGAGATGAGGTCTCGCCATGTTGCCCAAATTGGTCTCAAACTCCTGGGCTCAGGGAATCCTCTCACCTCAGCCTCCCAAAGTGCTGGGATGACAGGCAGGAGCCACTGTGCCTGGGTATTTTTTTCTTTATATGCTGAAAGTAAGACCATTTCTGGTTAAGTTGGCTCATCTATCCACATATGCTTTCTCCTACATGAAAGAGGAGCCAATAGTAAAACAACCTTTATAGATGACTTTCCAACTGATCAATCAAAAAAATTCTGGTGCATTTAATAATTTATGCCTCCAAGGGAACATCAATGGTGAGATACAATCAATGGTGTCTTCAAGACTTAATCTTCTCATGTAGGACTATATCTCAACTAAGCACAGACAAAGAAATAAATGTGGCTTCCTCCATTAGAATACTATGGTTAGTGATTCTTCCTCTTCTACATGCCAACACTTTTTTTTTTTTTTTTTAAAAAGAGATGTCCAGTTTGGGTAACAGTGAGACAAAACAGAAGAAAACTTATCCGCTCCTAGCCTCAGACCATCAATGAATATCAAATAAATGAACACGTATATACTATAAGTATACTAGAACAAATATGCACTTACTGTGTATAAGTTTATTCATCATTTAATAAACATTTTTTGAGAAAACAAATTGCTGTGATAGGGAAAGCTGGGGGCTGGAGAGGTGGGAGCTTAATTTAGAAGGCGTGCTCCAAAACGGTCTCCCCGAAGCACTGAAGCAGAGACTAACGAATGGGAAGGTGTCTGGGTGTGGACAGGAGGCGACCAGGGGGCCCAGGAGGGGGAGCAGCTCCCGAAAGGTCTGAGGGGCAAAGGAGTTGAGTGTCCAGAGCCACAGGCATGATCAATTTGTGGGCCCTCGTAGGCCAGAGCAAGGGCTTGATTTCATTCTGCGTTGACCGGAAGCCCCGAAGGATTTATACAGTGGAGGGACACGGTCTCACTGACATTACTAGAAGAGACTAGAGTGACAGTGAGAAGTGCCAGGAGGCTATTACTATTACAGTCAGTTCAGCATGAGATGCGGTGGCTTGAACTAGAGTCGGGCAGTGGTGGGAAAAGTAAACAGATTCAAGACCAGCTTTGGAGGAAGGGCTGATGGACCTTGCCAATCAACTGCATGAATGAGGGGGCAGAGCTGGAGGAATCAAAATAGACTCCCAGGTTTGGGCAAGCAACAGGGTCGTGAGCAGAGCCAGCAGACTCAACAGAACGACCAGGGGAGAGGACGTCTAGGCTTAGGGGACACTGCTAAGGGTTCCTTTTTAAACATCAACTTCAAGAGGCACTCGGAGCGAGAGAGAGAGAGAAAAGGGGATCAGACAGCCATGTGGAGATGCCGAGGAGGCAGGAAGGCCTACGAGTCCAGAGGTCAGAAGAAAGCCGAGGCTGTAGGTGTACACTTAGAAAGCACAGCATCAGCCTAGAGATGATTGTGCACGCCATGGGGCAGGGCGAGAGAGTCCCTTAAGCCAGAGGTTCTCACCTCTACCTGTACATGAGACCCCAGGGAACTCTAACAGCTCTTGTTGCCCAGGCTACACCACTGTTACATCAGAGTCTTCAGAAGGGACAGCAAAGCCACAGTCTCTGACAGGTCCCTGGGAGGTCCTATGTGCAGCCCAGAGCAGGGGAGGGTAGAGGGAGTCCAGGGTATGCAGGGAGGGCTGATGTCATGGAAGCCAAAAGAAAAGGCTGTTCCCAAAAGGAGGAGATAGTCGAGCGAACTGAAGCCTGCTGCAGGACAGGGCAAGAAGAAGAGAGAAAAGCATCCTTGGATCTGGCATCACAGAGGTCACTGGTGACCCCAACTAGGACAGTTTTCAGCTGAATAACAGGGGAGAGGCCAGACGAAGCAGAGGAAGAAGAATGATGTTAAAGGAAAGGACGTTGCGTAGCAAAGATGCTTTTAAGAAGTCTGGCTTTGAGCTGGGTGTAACAGCTCATGCATGTAATCCCAGCACCTGGGGAAGCTGAGGAGAGAGGAGTTCTAGGCCAATCCAGGAAACAAGGTAAGGCTCTGTCTCTAGAAAAAATTGAAAATTTAGCCAGGTGTGGTGGTGCGTGCCTGTAGTCCCTGCTACTCAGGGGGCTGAGGCAGGAGGATCACAGTGATCTGTGATCATGCCACTATACTTCAGCCTGAGTGACAAAGTGAAGCCCTATCTCAAAAAAAAAAAAGCCTGGCTTTCAACAGCAACAGAGAATATATCGTGACAGGTACGAGAAGTTAAGAAAAACTTTAAAAAGATTAGAGACACTATATGGATCAGGTATTGGAAAGATAAGGGGATTCCTTGTTGAAGCAGTAAGATTTTCACTCAACAAATATTTATCAAGCATAGGCACTGGGCCAGGCACTGTCCAAGGTGCTAGATGTACAATTACGCACAAAACTGACAAGGTTCCTTGCCCTCATGAAGCTTGTAGTGGGGAAGGGGGGACACTCAGTAGGTACACAAGCAAATACACATTACCATGACTGAGCTGAGTGTGCTTGTTCTGAAGAAGGGGAACAGAATGCAGTAACAGAGAAACATCAAAACAAGTAAGAGCCCAGCAAGGAAGTGTCAGCTCAGCTGAGAGCTGCAGGGTGAGGAAAAACGGGCAGAAAAGTGTTCCAGGCAGATGAGCCAGCAGGTGGGAAGATCCTGAGGCAGGAAGGAACATAGCCTTTCGGAGGAACCAAGAGCCCAGTGCAGTAAGGAAGTGCAGACTGCAATGCCGTGGGGGCCACAGAGGGGTCAGGGGATGCGGGTCTTGACAGGTAACATGAGCTTGACGCCAGGTGTAGGAGGGAGCCACTGAAGGGCTTTAGCTTCTGTTCTCTTTTCAACATTTTATTTTTGTCTTTAAAAATAAAGTTTTTGTGGACAGGGTCTTGTGTTGCCCAGGCAGGTCTTCAAAAAACTTCTGGCTTCAAACCATCCTCCTGCCTCAGCCTCCCAAAGTGCTGGGACTAAAGGCATGAGCCACCACATTCAGCCTTCTACTCTCTTAATAAAACAACCGAGGTTATCACTGACAGTGATGCGGAGGGAAGAGGTGAGGTCTAAAGAATGAGGAGCAGGTAAGAACCTACTCTTGTGGAGCATGAAGGAACCAGCTCACTAGAGAATCACTGAAGGATACCTGGAAGGGTCAAGCGCCCATTTGGGGGTTTGGCATCTTTCTCTGCAGTTGTTAACTCAGACATGGCAGGCAAAGAGAGAACAGGTTAGTGGGGAAGGGTCGGAGGGAGAATTTTTTAGGAGAGGTTGACAGAATGAGAGGGGAGGGGTGTTTGGTACCAGTTTTGACAATGGTCAGTTTCTGGTGATAAGATGCAGGGTATGGCCACGGCTGCAGGTGACAGATTGTTCAAAAGCAAACAGGTCCAGAAACTATGGTGCCAGGGGGCTGGAGGGTCCGCCCACTATGGGACAGAAGCCTTGACAGGGACTGGGGGCACTGAGAAAAAGCCAAGAGCCCATCTTCCCTGAAAAAGAGGCAAGCCATCAGCAGATGAAAAGGGTGGGGTGCAGGGTGCAGGTGACCATGTTACCAAACGGTACAACCTTCAGAGAGTCGGTGTTCTTTCTTCTTCTGCAAGATGGAAGAGCTCCTTGAATAGGTCACAGTGTCTTCTCCTCTTTTTAACACCTCTGCAAAACTTGTTACGTGCTAACAATGTCACAGTCCCTGCCTTTTAAATCTGCCACAAAGGGGGCAAAGCTCACCATGTAATACTTGATTTTCTGCAGGACATCATCGTTGGTCATAATAAGCTCTTTTGCTGTTGTCCCATCTGCTATGTTGGCTAAGATGCACAGTGTCTAGAACAGAACAAAGGTCAACAATCAGGAGAGTGCTGAAGACCCCAGAGTAAGGCTCAAGAGCTTGGGCCATCTCTCCCTGAAGGGGCATGGATTCTCACGGGTTCTGCTCTCAAGGCCCTGATTTCTCACCTCCTGAGGTCATTACCAACAATAGTAACCACAACCAAACCAGGTGTACCTTAGGCAAAAGGGACTCCGAACACTTCAGTGGCTTCCTGCTGTGCACAAAGCCATAGCCGGGCAAAGCCAGCCATACTGTATAGACCATACTGTCAAATTTTTCCTACATGTTTCATTTCTCAGAGAAGCTCTTGCGACTAGCCCACAAGGTCTCTTCAGAGATGTTGTCTCCTTGGTGGAGGCAGGTTGTAGCTCCCATCCCTTCCCAAAGCCTCCATCTGCTACTTGCTCCTAAGCTCAGGACCGTGTGGTTGAAGGCCCCAGATGCTGTCATACCAGCTACACTGGCCATGTGCAGTTGGGACCTCTTGACTTTTTTGAACTCTATTAGGGGAAGAGAAAAGGAAGCAAAATGTGTGAAGGAACTGAGATCACATCGGTCTAATGTGAAGGCTGGAGGGAGCCTGTGCCAGCTGGCGGGACATGACATCTTAATGACAATCACTGCACTGGTGACTGCGGTCTTCTTCTTAGAGGAAGAGGCTGTTCTTGTCAACTGTTCCATTCTCATGGCTAGACCAGCAGGAGCAAGGATTAAAGGTGGAAGGACGGTGGTAGGGATTGCAAGCCAGTGCCAGATCTAGCAGTTCAACACACATCTACTGAGCTCCTATCATGGGCACGCCTGCTGCAGGGTATCAGGTGAGACTGGAATAAAACATACTTCCTGGCTTTAAAGCTGTCACACAAACAATTACATTTCACTGTGACAGTAAAACCAGAGAACTGAGAAAGCATAAAGTAAGAGCACGAAAGGTTGGATAAGAAAGGTTCAGGGAAAGCTTTTTGGAGGAGGAGACTCAGTCCTGGAGCACAGTCAGGAGTCACTCAAAAAAAAAAGGAGGTGAGGATGAGATACAGATTCAAAGAATTTCCCCCAACTTTAACCTTTTTCTTTGCAAGACCTAAGCTAATTGAGGAGACTGTTTTCTTACAATGGTCCAAACTCTCAAATATTCTAAAGAATATGTGGTTTTATTTCTCCTAGATTAACATACTGTAGTAACTAGGGAGTCCTAAGGTGTAAGCCAGAAAAGGCTGCCTCTGACATACTGCAAACATAAACAATTAAATTTACAATCCAAGGGCTATGCGAGTACTGGGAGACTCTATTCGAGGGCAGCTGTATCACGACGAGGAGACCGTTATATGCTCAAGAAGTGGACAGAGATGATCTGGGGAAGGTACCAGATTTCTGGTGATCTGGCATATAATCACTGGGACATGGCAAACCCGCCATAACTTTTTTTGGTAGGCACAACACCCTAAGAAAATTAGTAATAATGCATCTGTACTCTTTTTGGTTAGTCTATGAAGAAGGACTATGAATACAGCCGATGAAGGAGCGAGCAGACATGAGCGTGACAAGTGCAATGTCTTTAAAAGGTCATCCTTTCGGTACTGAACCACCTTCATGTCGGCGATCAACTGACCACACACGTGTGGGTGTTTCTGGACACCTGGTCTGTTTCACTGATCTACAGATGCCATCTTTTTGCTAATGGCATACTGCCTTGACTGCTGTGCTTTTGCAGTAAGTCTTGAAACCAGGCACTGTGAATCTTCCAATTCTGTTCTTTTTTTGCTTCAAAACTATTTTGGCTACTTTAGTTCCTTTGCTTTTTCATATAGATTTGGAAGATCTATATGTAAAGGCAAGCATTTTAGATGGAATTTTTCTCTAAATATTACATTTCTCTAAATACTACTGTAAATGTAATTACAGTAAAGGTAATATTTAGAGAAAATCATGCTGGAACTTTGGTTGGGATTGAGTTGAACCTATAAATCAACTTAGGGAGAATTGACATTTTAACACAGTACATCTCTCCATTTATTTAGGTCGTGGATTTCTTTCATTATCAGTGTTTTGTAGTTTTCGGTATACTGATCCTTGTGAGATTTATTCATAAGTATTTCATTTTTTTCTGAGCTACTGCAAATAATGCTGTTTTAAAATACTTCAATTTCCAATTGTCCAACTGCTAGTATATAAACATACAACTGATTTTTCTATCTTGTGGCCTTGCTTCCCTCATTTATTAGTTCTAGATTTTTTGGTGACTCCATGGCATTTTCTATATGGGCATGTTGTTTGGAAACAGTTTTACTTTCTCCTTTCCAATCTGAATGCCTCCTGTTTCTTTTTCTTGCCTTATTATACTTCGTAGGAACCAGTACAATGTTGAACAGGAGCGGTGCGAATGCACGTGCTTATCTTGTTCCTGATTTACGGGCAGTGACAGTTGTGTTCACTATCTTGATTACGGTGATAGTTTCACATGTCGGAACCCACCACACTGTACACTTTCAATATACGCAGCCTAATGCATGTCAGTCATAGCTCAGTCAGGACCCTAACTTATCAGGTGCGCTTGAGAAGCACTGAATTTCCAGTCACCACCCGGCAGCTTAGCCTCCCGTACCTGCCTACTGTGGACCATCTCCAAAATCCACAGGAGAGAGTATCCCTTGCGTCCTACAAAAACACATTGTCGTTGCTGGTCTTATATTTTGCTCTCATTCAAATCTTGTCTCGCCTTTCTGTCTTGCCTCACTTTTCAGGCTAGTGGAATTCTATCCAGGTGAGCAGTCCTTATAGACAAAATGCATTCATGTCCTCTCAAAGTAGAAGGGTTTCTTCTGGACAACGTGTTTCTTCATTGTTGAGTTCTAGTAACGGATCTCATTTCACTTCGTTCCAGTTTTGCTTATGGAATTATACTTTTACTGCACTAAATTTTTTTTTTATCAAAACTTAGGTGTTATGTAATTCAAAATCACCTAAAACAGTCACCTTAAAGCCACTTTACAAAATCTACCAGCTTTCTGCTCACAAATTCAACTGCAGCTCCTAAGTCCTTCCACTCTTACTCTGTGGCGTGCTCTCCCAAAGCCCGCTGAACCGCACTCTACCTCGGGAATATGAAGGAGGCGGCGCACAGGTCCTGCGGTCGGACCCTCTGGGTCCAGCTCTCTGTTGATGACCTTGGGCAAGTCTCTTGCATGCGTGTAGACGTACATCCACACGGATAGCTTCGTGAAGTCTTTTTCAGCTGGGGTGTCACTCTGTCACCCAGGCTGGAGTGCAGCGATGTGATGAGGCCAGCTGCAGCCTCCAGCTCTGGGCTCCAGTGACCCTCCCTCCTCAGACTTTCAAGTAGCTGGGGCTACAGGTATGCATCATCAGGCTCAGCTAATTTTTAAAGAATGTCTTCTTAGCAATGGCGCCTCACTGTGTTACCCAGGCTGGTCTTAAACTCCTGGGCTCAAGCGACCCTCACACCTCAGCTTCCCAAAATGCTGGGATTACAGGCATGAGCCACCACTCCTGGTGCTTAATGAATTTTGAAAGTGAACACATCCATGTAGCCAACACCTATGTCAGGAAACTGAATACTACCAGTACCACAGTGCTGTGTGGAAAGTTTAAGTTTGCAGGTGACCTTTACTTCTACGGCAAAATAAGATACATGCATCAAGACTCTCATGACAGATCCTAGAAAATGCAGAACCGTAACTCCCAAACTGTAACCTGACGCATGCGCAGCCTCTATACCGTCATGCCTATCCTCCACGCGCCCCACTGAACGCAGTGAAAGCAGGGGTGGGGGATGCAGCAAAGACACCTAGGAGTGAGGACACCAACACCGTCCCCAGGGGAAGGAGTCGCCTTATCAGGGAGCTGCAGGGATCTGAGCTCAGAGCTGGTGGCAGCAAAGGCTGGAAAGAGTGAGCTGGGTAAGGACTGGCGAAGGATGACTGCTCCGACAGAGACAGGAGTGTACAGTGTGGGCCACAAAGGGGAAGCAACCGACCCCAGCCATGCTCTCCTCGATGCAGGGGGAATTCCTGATGATGGTTTAAGGGGTGGTGGGTGGTCCTTCCTCCTGTCTCCAGGGCACCTTCATCCCAGCACCCTTTCTTCTGCAGATCTGAGTATTCGAGGAGACTTCTAAAACTTTCTCTGTGCTCACATGCAGAAAATATTCTACAAGGAAGAGAAATACATACCTGCTCTTTGACCTCAATGTCATGTTCCCCTTCCAGAATAAGGGTGACGGCTTGCATAATCTGCTTTCCATGAGTACTCATGATTTTATCTATGTGCTACAAAACAACAGAGAAGCTGTAATTATCATGGAGGAAACAAAGGAAAGGACCACAGGAAAGAACAGAAGGCATCTGAAAGTGGAACAACGCAACTCACAACTGCTTCTAGCAGGGTACCTCAGCTTACAGAACTAGATGCCAAAGAACAGCGTTTATTATGTGTTGAAGCTGCAGCTTGCCTTACATATATACTTAATGATTTAAACAAATGAAAGCATACAGTTGATCTGACAGAATATAAAAGTACAACCACTGGGGGTCCTCAAGCCTAAAGATATTAAAGAAAAAGGAAGAACAAAAAATGGATGGGCGGGGGTCAGGGGAAGGTCAGAGACAGGGAAAATATGGTGCAGACGTATTAATACACTCGTGGGGCCCAAATGCACAAGGATGACTCAGAAGACAGTGGGGCCCAGAGATGAGAAGCAGCCACGCTCCCCATCGACCTGAAGGTCACAGACACTGCTGCACAGGGAACACTGGAGGACAGCATCGAGGGACCCACCAGCAAGGCTCGGCTTCTCACACTCGGACGTGTACCTCTACTCTCTCCACTACATTTTCAGGGGTCAAGCCAGCAAATGAGGGCTGAGGGTGGTCTATGCAGTAGCTCTGAGAATTCTTTAAGGGAAAAAGGCAGATACCCCAGACATCCATGATTCAGGCAGATGAGGAAACCCACCCAGGCCAGTCAACAGGGAAAAAGAAAGCAACAAATCAAAGCAGGCACTTGTCATGGCTTCCTCTTTTCCAGGGAGCAGAGGAAGACAGGACAGGAAGTATGGACGTGAAGGGTTGGGGCAACATGGTGAAGCAGCTCCCAGAACACCTACAAAGGCAACAGGTCCAGACATCAGCTCCTTGAATCACACTCTCGTTGATGAGAGCAGAGAGAGACAGCAATGCTTAGCAATGCCTCACAGGGTAGGTAATCTGCAGGCCTGGGAGATTTTACTTACAGGTCGAGTAGACAGGAGGTTTCTAAGAAGTCCCAATGTCTTCATCAGCACATTCAAATCTGAATCTGATAATAATCGGAATAGCTGTTCGGTGCTCAAGCTTCGTAAGATATCTGCTTTTATTTTTTGTTCAGCTTGAAATGCCATATTCTGAAAGGGTTAAAGAAGTTGCAAGAATCATGTCTACATACACTTTATTAAATGATACTTCAACAGTGAGTCTCATCATTTTCAAAGTACAATCTGCAGAAAATGCTTGAGTCACACTATTTTCTTGATTCCTTCTGGTCACCTGTATTTCTGTCTCCCAAGAGAAAGATTAATTATCACTCTTAGATGTACTTCTAGATGTGGACTATGACCACTTTTAGACATGGGCGTTTGAATGTCTTAAGTTTCTCAAAGAAATACATTTATCACTTTTGAGAATATCTTTATGGTTATCCAGTTGCCTTCTGTACTTTAATTAACAAAATGACAATGAATGACTATACCGTGCCATGCCATTTGAAAATGACTTCAAAGTACTCACATATTGTGGGTGAAAATAAGCAGTGGGTTTTGTTAACTTTATTGGGATGAAAACATCTATGTGTTCCCAGTACTGTGCTAGGTGCTGCTATGGCTGGGCTATATTATACAGGAAGCTCTCCAGTGGGTGGGAGGTGTGTCTGGGTTACCAGCAATCCCAGATGGCCAGTAGCTATTTTGTTCCTTTTTCTCTAATTCTTATCATGGATTAGTTCAGCTTAACCACAAGCTATAACATGTCTGAAGGAAAAAAAAAAAGCAAATTCCAAATAACAACTCATAAATCAACTTGATACAAAGATCTCTTGTAAACTAGACTTCTTATAGTACGCAGTTATTGCCCTCCAGGAACTTATTTTAATGAAGGAGCTAAGACAAGAATCCAGGAATTAAGGAGCTAAGACAAGAGATCAAGTTACCTGATGAGGCAAGGCAGCATGGCGAAGCAAAAACAATATCTGCTGGTGTCAAGAGACCCAGGCCAAAGATGATTCCAAGGTTTGACATTTTGCAGACAAAGAGCAAAGTAGCTGGTAATACGGAGACTGAGAATAAGGTAGTGTGTACAGATTTAAGGAGCGGAATAAGTTCAACTCTCAATATTAAAGTTGTACATGTCAGAGAGTTCTCAGAAGTTCCATAAGCCATTTAGGTGACAGATATGGGAACAGGTACCAGTTACATGTGGACATGTAGCTTTCAAGTAATCTCTTCTATTAGGAGGAGTTGAAACCTTGACAACAGATGAAGTCCTGAAACTGAAGCGTAAAGGGAACTGGAACTGGGAACTGAAGGTTGGACAATGTCCTCTGAGAAGGAGGATGGGTAGGAATTGAGTTAAAAAATTAAGTCCTAGGAAGGAAATTTGGCACACACACAACATCTAGATATTTCAAACAACACATTCTTTAGCTCTAATTTTGATGATAGCTCTATTTCTTTTGTAAATTACGACATATGTAAAAGGGTGAAACATACCATTAAAGCCCATATTCCATTCACTCGTAAAGCGGGATTTTCACTCTGGGTTAATCCACAAAGTAACTCTACGGCTCCTGATTCTAAAATCGGCTGTCATTGGAAAGGAAAAACAACAACCACAACAACACAGCTTTAAAGTCAGGCTTGCAGACTAAAATGTGCACACACCCTGGCGCTCCGCCTACAACTCCACCCCGCTCTCTCCCCACTCCACAGAAGCAGGGAGTGATGCAGCCATAAAAATCGCCTTGAGAAGGGCCAAGACAATTGTTCTCTCACAAACCCCCCAAAACAAAAGAAATCTCTCACTTCCTTCTCCTTTGTAGTCTGGAGGACCCGGGAGACATCCTAGTTATCTGCAGACTTCACAAACGCCCTTATGATTTCATCCCCTAGCTCCCCACTCTCATTGTCCCCATCCCAAGTCTGGGACTCCCTGCTTTGTTTACTTGCGTATCTTGTGTGCTACTTACAAGCTGTGACTATTAAGCAATACGGTTTAGCAGAGAAATGTAATGGAACTTAGACAACCAAATCATCCTCCTCTCAAGTTGTCAATTTTATCACAAACATGCTGCAGAATTGATCCCTTAGTACTATTTTCAGGACTAGTGATTAATTATACAAGCAAAGCTGTAAAAGTCTGTACTTTTACAGTCATGCTGTGTTTCACACCTAAAATACCATGCTCTGGTCTGACCACTTACTTTATGACACTTGACTGAAATAAGTTCCAACTCAGAAAGTAGCAAGGACACGAGGAACTCTCATATACCCTGTCCCCAGATTCAACAAGTTTCAAGATTTTGCTATGACTGCTTTATCAATGTTTCTCTTACACTATACAAGGGGGACACACACAAAAACTGGAATTTATTTGTAAAAAATTATGCATTTATTCTTACATGTTTAAACTTCAGTCAATTTCAGAACTGGAATTTATTTATAAAAAATTGTGCATTGATTCTTACATGTTTCAACTTCATTCTCTATTTGATAAACACCTATTGAGATGCTTTTTCCACTGCTCAAAATAGTTTTTGAACTCATCAACTTTGATGCCTTTCAAAAGTGCTTCTGCCGTTTTTTGTTTCACCTCTTCCACACTGGCAAAACATTTCTGCTGTGGACTTTTTTCATCCAAGGAAACAAAAAAAGTCGCTTGGGGCAAGATCAAGTGAACAGGGAGGGCAGGGTCCAGGCATGCTATTTTTGGTCAAAAACTGCTGAACACTCAGCACATGTGGGCAGGTATGCTGTCATGGTGTTAGAACCAGGCACCTGTTTGTCACAACTCAGGAAATGTCTTCCACAAATTGTGATGTAATCATCTCAAAACTTCCAGATAAAAATTTTGGTCGACAGTTTGATCCAGAGGAACAAGTTCAGCGTGTACTACAGGGAGCCACTTTCTAAAAGACAATTCCAAGGTTTTCTTTTTTTTTGGTCCCCTTGTATACTTATATCCACGTTATCTTTTCTGAACCAACTGAAAGTAGAGTGCATATATCATGCCTCTTTACCCTTAATATTTCAATCTATTTTTCCTAAGAACAAGGATATTCTCTTAGATAATCACAGTACAGTACAGTTACCAACTTTAGAAAGGTTAACATTAAATCAAAATAATGCTTTTCTCAAATCTATAGGCCATATTCCAATTTTGTCCACTGGCCTACAAATGTTCTTACAGCAAGTCCCTGCCTTCCAGTTCAGAATCTAGTGTATTTTTAGTATTAAAAAAAAAAATCAATAAGGTGGGACATAGTGGCTCACACCTGTACTCTCAGCATTCTGGGAGGCCGAGGTGAGAGGACTGCTCAAGGCCAGGAGGTTGAGACCAGCCTGGGCAATACAATGAGACTTCATCTCTACAAATTTTTTTTTCTAATTAGCCAGGCATGGTAATATATGTGCCTATAGTTCCATCTACTTGGGAGGCTGAGGTGGAAGGATCACTTGAGCCCAGAAGGTCGAGGCTATAGTAAGCCTGGGCAACACAGTGAGACCCTGAATCAAAAAAAAAAAAAAACAAAAAAAAAACCCAACAACAACCATATTGATGATCCTATGCCTGATTTCATCTACTTTCTTTCCTAACAGACCCTAAATATTCTGAAGGCAGATCGAGAAGCACGAGAGCTGCCAGGATGGCAAATGGTGGTGTGCTGGCTGTGACCTGGTCATCAGCAGGCCAAGACCCTGAGACAAGCGGAGGGGGATGGGCGGAAGGGCACAGGCATCGGGGGATGGGTGGAGGAGCTGAGCTGGCACACTCTCTTGTCTTCCTCTTCCTCTAGAGTAAGCACCTGTCTCTCACATTTGCTCTAAGATTTCTGTTTGTTGAACAATTGTCTTTGAATCTCCACCTTGTTAATACTACCTTCCTAACTGCTGTCAAAGATGATGGTGTTATAATGCAAAACACAAATTCTGCAAAAACAGGACTACTAAATGTACAATAAATCTGAGTCCATGAATGGGCAGATCAGAGATATTATAACATAGTAAAACTAACTTTATGAAGTTTCCCCTCCCTCATTAAACTTTATTTTAGTTTTCCCTATTTAAAAAATAACACAAATAATTTATAAAGTGCAGAAGGGGACCTCCCCCACATTTAATCTCTCCCCAAACAACTGCCATTAACATTAAACATTAAATACTTATTTTCAGATGACAGCAGTTATCTGATTGTAAGAAATGACTTACAATCCTAGCTTACAAAGTTTGGTCTTAATTTATTCTTTAGTTAATGAAGTTTGAAAATACTCTACTTTAAGCTATAATATTTTTATTTATTTTTTTAATTTTTTTTGAGTTGGAGTCTCACTCTGTCGCCCTGACTGGAGTGCAATGGCCGCTCCTGGCCACCGCAGCCTTGACCTGCTGGGCTCCGGTGATCCTTCCGCCTCAGCCTTCCGAGTAGCTGGAACTACAGGCGTGTACCATGCCCGGCTAATTTTTTTTGATTTATTGTAGAGATGAGGTCTCGCCAAGTTGCCCAGGCAGGTCTCGAACCCGCGGGCTCAGGCAATCCACTCACCTCAGCCTCCCAAAGGTGCGGGATTATAGGCTGAGCCACCGAGCCCGGCTAGCTATAATACTTTTAAAATAAGCTGAATATGCTAGACAGAACAAAAAGAATAAAGGGGAATGAGAATCCTATTTTAAGATGAAGAATGTACTTCACCTCCCAGCCACCCAAATCAAACAATTCACAAGTCGTAGTTAAATCCAAGCCCCAGTTTCCACATCAACTGCTGTAGAAAGTACTTGACTAAGTTCTGGATTTACTGGGCGAAGTCTAGGAAGACAGAATCAATACTAACCTCTTTGCTTGGAGAAAATTCAAGAAGAAGATTACATAGCATGGAAGACGCTACTACTAGGATTTCATCTGGTGCATTTTGCAAAACCTATGGAATTGAAAAAGGGACACTATTAATGGCTTGGAACCATGAGATCGTAAGGTGACTACGTAAAGACAAAAACAATGGTCTTTCCACCTGACTCCTCCTCCTGGAGAGGCAGTTACAAAAGATTCACTTGATAGCGTGTTAAACTTCACCCAGTAGTGCTAGAGTTAGGACTAAGACCCTTGCAGTTGTCTTGGAGAAGCTACAGCCTCACTAGGGGGTGTTGCAGGGAGGAGACAGACATGAACCAGAGAAAGGCACTCTGTGAAAAGCCTGAAGGCCACGGGACTGTGTCGGGGCAAGTGAGCTCATCCTGCAGACGCACGCTAATGGCTGACCTTCTGACGTGCTTCTAGACGGGCTTGTCTGACAGGGCGCGGACGATCAAGCAATTACTGCACAGGCCTGACAACTCCACTAACTAGATAAGTGAACTTGAGCGCATTTCTTAGCTTCTCTGAGCCTGTTTCTTCGTCTGTAACTTGAGGAAAAGAACACCTCCTGGACAGAACTATTTAGGATTAAAGGTGACATGGTAAATATAGGGAAGCATCATAGCAGAGAATTATTTTTTTGAGTTAAGAGTCTCACTCTGTCCCTCAGGCTGGAGTGCAGTGGCACAATCATGGCTCATCGCAGCTTCAACCTCCTGGACTCAGGTGATCCTTCTGCCTCAGCTTCCAGAGTAGGTGGGACTTCAGGTGCGCACCACCACACCCAGCTGATTTTCTGTAGAGATGAGGTCTCACTACGTTGCCCAGGCTGGTCTCGGACTCCTGGGCTCAAGCAATTCTCCCACCTCTGCCTCTCAAAGTGCTGGGATTATAGGTGTGAGCCACCATGGCTGGCCTTGAAAATGAAAAATATAGACTGCCTGAAGACAAATTACAGATGAAAACTAAGAATGTACATGAATTCCTCAGCTATAAAATGAGGTAGTGATACTTGCTTCATAAGATTGTTTTGATAATATATAAAAAGATTTTAGGACAGCTGGGACATATAAGCAAGGTTGTTTGGGGGTTTTTTCTAGAGTCGGAGCCTCACTCTGTTGCTCAGGCTGGAATGCAGCAGCATCCTCACAGCCACCGCAGCCTTGACCTGCTGGGCTCAGGCGATCCTTCTGCCTCAGCCTTCCGAGTAGGAACCACAGGCATGCGCCACCAAACCCGGCTAATTTTTTATTTTACGTAGAGGCAAGGTCTCACCACGTTGCCCAGGCTGGTCTAGAACCCCTGAACTCAGGCAATCCTCTCACCTCAGCCTCTCAAAGTGCTGGGACTACAGGATTTGAGTCACCACGCCTGGCCAAGTAAGGCTTTTTAAAAGGTAATTTATCACCGTAATTACTATTGTTATCAGGCACAGATCAGGCACATAACAGGTATACAGTAAACTAGCTGCCACGAACTTTCACTGAACTCAGAAGGCAACAGAGCATGATGGTAAATGTTAGTTGCTATTAGCTATTATCAGAACCTGTTCTTTCCAGACTCTAAGAGAGAAGGCTTCATAGGCACCACCACTTAAATGCAGTCACCACTCCAATTAAGTCCTCTGCGTTTCGGATCTAATCAGGTTCAGGCTGATGATCCCAAAAGGAGTCTCAGGAGCTCTAGTTATGCGAACTGGAGATATACAATCACCAACGATTCAGAGATTTAAACATACGATCTGCCTTCCGTGGCTAGGTTCGGTCCGAAGTTCCCAAGTTAAGAACTAAGACGCTGCTCCAACTCCCCTGTGAGCAGATGGCAACCCGTCTCGCACACTACGCATGCCGGGCTCTTGTCACAGTCTGGGGCCTTACTCCCCTGCCCTGGCCTGTTCCCCTGACATCTTCCAGGCAGACCCTGCCCGAGCATCCGGGCCATCCCATCCTCCTGGCCAGGGCCACTGTACCCTCCTCTGAGCGCCTGCTGCCCCTCTGTTCCCTGTCTCTGGTTCCTCACAACTGTCCGCCTCTCCCATTCTCTGTACAGTCATGCCCACCTCCCTCTCCATCAACAGAGGCAAGCTTCTTGAAGAAATCATCTATGAGTCTCTGGTCCAGTTTATGCTGGCCAGGAGCAACACAGCAGCACTGCACAAAATGAGTGCCTGATAAATGTGTGCAGATGAAGAGAAATGATCATTTTCCAAAATGTATACTCCTTAGAAACATTAAAATAAGCAAATGCCTACCAAAACGCCAAAAAGTTGCTTTAGGAGGCATGATTCACTCTTTAAATTACTTATTTTATATAAACTGATTTGTTTTATCAAGGTTTATTTTCAAGTTAGATAATATCTAATGATAAACGAAAACAGAAGATAGCCTATGAACTTTTTTTTTTTTGTGAGTCAGAGTCTCACTCTGTCACCCAGGCTGGAGTGCAGTGGCACGCTCATGGCCACCACAGTCTTAACCTGCTAGGCTCAGGTGATCCTTCTACCTTAGCCTTCCAAGTAGCTGGAACTACAGGCATGAGCCACCACGCCCAGCTAATTTTTTTATTTATTGTAGAGACAGTGTCTCACCATGTTGCCCAGGCTGGTCTCAAACCTATGGACTCAGGCAATCCTCTCGCCTCCCCCTCCCAAAGTGCTGGAATTATAGGCATGACCCACCACACCTGGCCAGCCACCACACCTGGCTATCCTATGAACTTTTTAAAAGCAATCACTCAGTGCAGTGTAAGATATAATGTGAAATTCAGAAGTTGTTTATCTAACACTGACCAAATAGAATTTCACCAAAATAAGGTAAAATTACTCACAAATAAAAATTTTAATTAAAATCAAGTGCCTACACTCCTGCAGTTTGGTAATCAACAACTGAAAATATGAAAAAACAGACCAGGTTCGATGGCTCAGTCTGTAATCCCAGCACTTTGGGAGGCTGAGGTGAGTGGATTGGCTGAGCCCGCAGGTTCGAGACCCATCCTGACAACTTGGCAAGATCTCATCTCTACAATAAATCAAAAATTAGCCAGGCGTGGTAGCATACTCCTCTAGTTCCAGCTACTTGGAAGGTTGAGGCAGAAGGATCGCCGGAGCCCAGCAGGTGGAGCCTGCGGTGGCCGGGAGCTTGCCACTGCACTCCAGTCTGGGCGACAGAGTAAGACTCCAACTCAAAAAAAAAAAAAAAAAAAATATATATATATATATATGAAAAAGCAGATTGGAAAAATCAGTAACTATGCAAACAGCTCCCAAACTAGGAACTAAAAAAGTATCTGAAGTAAATCATTTGTTTACTTCCAAGTTTTTAACACTATACTTTAAATGTGCAGCGAAATTGTAGTTTGAAAGTAGTTATACCCACATGTACCAAGTAGACAAGAATACCCTCCTAGACTGCTCGCCCAGACCCTCCCCAAAAAGACTAAAGGGAAACCAAACGCTGTTCCGTTTCTGGTTTGTATGACAACTGGGTCCTGAGGTGAGCCATCCAAGAAAACGGCTCTGGTTGAAAGGGGAGTTACTCTGAGAAGAGGAACTTGGAAAATCTTGAATGGATTTTAAAAAATCAGTAAATCAAGATCAAGCTTCTATGAAAAAAGTACAATCTAAAAACAAAATAGAGTGGGAACAGTAAAAGGAAATACCACTTAACTAAGGAGAGTCTTAAAAAAACCCAGAAATGTCAGACCTGGCCCCAACGGTTTTGGAGAAGGGGCTCTGGCCCTGAAATGGACTCCTGTTGGTGGCAGCTGACTCACTCTGCAAGCAAGTGTCTTCCAAGTGTAGAGAGGCACTGGTATTATCTTCTGAGATTTAGGGCTCTTAATGAGGTTTAGGAGGCAAAAGCCTATCAGGGAATGAGGAATTTCAGAAGATCTGACATATGCCTAACAGGGTGCACACGAGTAAAACCCAGAAAGGTGTGTTCATGGATGGAAACAGGTTCAATGTCACAGGCTGCTCAGGCAGGCTCACTGAAAAGGCAAAACGGAAGAAACTTATGCTGTCCTGGTAAGTCTCACCAGGCTTTATCGTGACGTTCTTTTGGATTACGAACTTCTCGGTGGCCCTGGGCCACTCCTGAGTCGTGCCTTGTACACCAGTCCCACGGTTCCCTCCTCCGAAGTCTCTCCAGGGGTCACACTGCCTTTCACCCACTCCCACCACCCTATTCCAGGACTTCACCACACAGACTGTGTGCTCTGCCAGGAGATGAACCTCCCCATGAAAGCAGGCCTCGGCACGTCCACTCCAAGGCCTCGAGCATCGGTCCACCTCTTCCCCTGGTCCTTACCAGCCCACTGATATGTCTTATTGCATCCCATCCTGTCACGAAGGCATTCTTGCCATTTCCCACACACATCGTGTGTAAAGTTTCTTCTCCTCTCTCCCTGGAGAATTCTTCCTTTTGCCTTCAAAGCTCACTTTATCTTCTTCCTGCCTGAAGCCCCTCCTGACTATTTCGGCCACACGGATGCCCCTACTCTAATCTGACGCCTTACAGGGCAAGAGCTCCATAGTAAAATGTTCGTAGCCCACTGTGCCTGGAGGCCCTGCTTAGCACACAGTAGGTACTCAAAAGCAAAACAAAAAACGACAACATCGCAAATAAGCAACACATTAAGCTCACTAAATGCACGGTATGCGATCGCTTAGGGAGAAAAAGACAGATCAAGGACCAAGTCCTGTGGTTTTGTAATATATGAGGGGATAATACCATTAGCAGCAACTTGATGGATATGCTAAGTCTTAAGTAGATTCATTTGCCCAGTAGCTTTTTTGGGGGAGGAACAGGAGGGCACCTCAACACATGTACCTGTAAACAACTGATGATTCCTTTCCTTTTTTTTTTTTTTTTTTGAGGCAGGGTCTCACTCTCTCCCTGGCTGGAGTGCAGTGGTACTACCACGGCTCAATATAGGCTCAAACTCCTGGGCTCAAACGATCCTCTTACTCAGCCTCCTGAGTAGCTGGACCACTGGCATGTGCTACCATGCCCAGCTAATTTTTTTACAAGTTTTAATTGTTTTTGTAGAGATGAGATCTTGCTACGTTGCCCAGGCTGGTCTTGAACTTCTAGCCTCAAGCAATCCTCCCAAGTTATTCTTTTCCATTTTATAACTAAAAACTTCAAGGAAAACTCCACATAAAGTTAAAGTGTAAGCCGGGCTCAGTGGCTTAGCCTGTAATCCCGCGCCTTTGGGAGGCTGAGGTGAGTGGACTGCCTGAGCCCGCGGGTTCGAGACCGGCCTGGGCAGTGAGACCTCATCTCTAAAATAAATAAAAAAATCAGCCGGGCATGGTAGCGCATGCCTGTAATTCCGGCTACTTGGAAGGCTGAGGTGGAAGGATTGCCGGAGCCCAGCAGGTCCAGGCTGCAGTGGCCGGGAGCGGCCAACTGCACTCCAGTCTGGGCGACAGAGTGAGACTCCAACTCAAAAAAAAAAAAAAAGTTAAAGTGTAATACTAAATATAGTGAGATCATATGAATAACCAAAGCTTTAGCTAATAAAAACTACGCCTGAACTTTCCCCTCACACATGAGATGCTGACCTCAGAAATATTCTGTAGATTTGCAAATGCTTAGAATTTCCAGTTTGAGGAGATAAATGTCTGCTCTCTCCAGAAATCGGATCTCCTCCTAGACCCACAGAGTGCTGTCAGCTGGCTCAGCTCACTGAAGGGTCCAGGGGGTATGGTTGCTACTCGGGGACCCTTTCTTACCTTCATTAAAGGTTTCCACACAGCATGATCCTGGAAACTGGTTCGAAGCTGCTGTACAGATCTTGATAAACTGTGCAAACATCTACAAAAAAGGACCAAAATTAGCTTTACAAGAAACCAAAATGCTTACTTTTCAAACAAACTGCTAGGCATTCACAAATCCAAATCCAAACTTCAAGTCTATCTACAGACATTGCTACGTGAACTCCATCAGACCAGACCACTTTATGAGGTTTGGCGGCTAGCCTGTTAGGTCATGTTTGCTACACACGGTATGAATTCACCTGAGCATACTCTCAAGGAACATTTGGATTCCGTGCTTACTTGGTGAAGGACCAGAAAGGAAACAGGTTAAACACACGGCAAGGGATTTTTATTCAGACCATGTAAAGCTCATACCTGACGGCAGCTAACCGCACCTTGACACTAGACTCAGACAAGCCAGTCACAATTCGGTCCATCATATTTTCAGTCTCAATGATCTGGAGAAAAAGGTTAATGCTGCATAAATAACAACACGAAGGTGACAAACTTCACTGCTTGTAAATGCAAGTATGTTAACATCCATTCAAAGTTCAATGTTGTTCTTGGCAAGTTTTTACCTCTTGAACAATCATCTTGCGGTGGGGCAGGCAGCTCATCGCAAAGGCAGGTCTAGCCCACTAAGGACCTGCCAGGCTGAATGACAGGCGTGAGGGGCGGGTTATGTTTCTTTATTTTTAGGACAACTAAACAAGATTAAAAGGCTTACGTATTGTAGCTGTGTTGCATAAACGATTCTGAGAACAAGTAAAGGAAATACATGAACTCCCGCTGGGTGAGACGCTAAGGAATGTAGTCCACAATCCGCCCTCCCCAGGTGACATCTGCAGGTTTCTGACACCGGCCCCATAGCTGCTTTCTTTCCAAGCAATTGAGACTAAGTCACATATTTAGGAAAGTAGCCCTTGCCATCTTTCACGGATAGCACCAAGTGCTGCCACATGTGATCATGAAGCTTTATTGTTTTAACTGAAAAATCTAGATCCAAGATGAATAGTGTGGGGATGGAAATTAAGTTTGACTTGTGTGGGCCTATGGAAAGACAGCCTTTAACAAGAATAGGGTGCTGATGCAATCGTCACACAAATATTAACAACTAATCCCCGTCGAGTTCTTCTGTGTGCCAGGCACTGTGCCTTGCATGTTGTATTATCTGATTTAACTCTCACTCTTTTGCCAGCATCATTCTAAATGCTACAGGCTTTCCTGGAATCACAGAGCTGAGACTGGAACCCAGACATCTGACTCCAGAGTCCATATGCTCCCTGTACGTGTAGTTCAGCTCTGGTTGAAGAAGCAGTCTTGTACTCATCAGGCAGCTCCCAGTGTGGGCAAAGCATGAATGGGAATCATTACTCTCACCTGGGAGAATACCTAGACCAATGGATCTTAAGCCTGGCCATACAGAAGAATTTCCTGAGGAGCTTTAAAACAAAACAACACAGCATACTAATTAAGTTAGATTCTCCAGGGTGGGGTCCCTATTTTTAAAAAGCTCCTTGGGTGAGTACAGTGTGTAGCCAAGGGTGAAGATCACTGGCCCAGACTAAAATCAAAGGGTTCAAAGGTTGACTGACCTCAGAACACAAGAGAGTGGGAAATCTCAGGATGTTCCAGTCAAATGGGAAAAGAGAAGCAAGTACGGTTGAAACTAACAGGAAATGACACTTGAGCTGCAGGCTAGGAATGGTACATTTTTGTTTTGTTTTGTTTTTTTGGAGTCAGGGTTTCAGTCTGTTGCCTAGGTTGGAGTGCAGTGGCATAATCATGGCCTCAAACTCCTGGGCTCAAGTGATCCTCCCGCCTCAGCCTCTTGAGTAGCTGAGACTACAGGTGCATGTCACCATGCCCAGCTAATTTTTTAATTTTTTTTTTCTTCACAGAGATGAGGTCTAGCTATGTTGCCTCGGCTGGTCTTGAACTCCTGGGCTCAAGCAATCCTCTAGCCTCAGCCTCCCCAAATGCTGGGATTATAGGCAGGAGCCACCGTACCCAGCCCAGGAATGGTAATTTTTGTATGGTGTTCTTCAGATTCCACAGTGGCTGAAGATCCGCATATGGGTCTCCTCCCCACCCCTCATCAGAACCAACCCCATTCTCACTTCAGGCACCCCCACTCTGTCCTCACCGTCCCCGCAGCCCCTAGACTCCTCCCTTTCTGTCTGCCTACTCTTGCCAGCCCTCCTATTCCTTTTTCCCAACACAGATGACCCGCTTGGACCTTCCACTTAGAAGACAGATTCCCAGCCGGGCTCGGTGGTTCAGCTTGTCATCCCGCACCTTTGGGAGGCTGAGGTGAGTGGATTGCCTGAGCCCGCGGGTTCCAGACCCGCCTGGGCAACTTGGCAAGACCTCATCTCTACAATAAACCAAAAAAAAACAATCAGCTGGGCGTGGTAGCGCGCACCTCTAATTCCGGCTACTCAGAAAGCTGAGGCGTTGGGATCGCCAGAGCCCAGCAGGTCGAGGCTGCGGTGGCCGGGAGCGGCCACTGCACTCCAGTCTGGGCGACAGAGTGAGACGCCAACTCAAAAAAAAAAAAAAGAAGACAGATTCCCTTTTCTCACCGTCTTCCTACCACTCCTACACCCAGACCCCAGGGTGCAGTAGAAAGACCACCGAGCCTGGAGAGCAGCAGACAAATCTCACGTGTCCTCAGCGTAGGCAACTCCCTCAGCAGGACCCTCACTGCTGGTTCCCAACCTCACAGCACCCCACAGGAGATGCCTGTGTTCCCTACGGCGGTGACCTCCTACTTCAAATTCTTCCTGCCTCCCCGGGCCTGTCTCGTCTTTGTAGGGCCCCGTCTTCCTTCTGGGACACAAGTTGCCTCAATCCTCCACTTCCTACAGAAGTTTCCACACTCACTGTTCCCTTAATTCTTATGTTGAGGCTGGGTACCTCAAGCTCAAAGTCTTTCTACCTTGGTCAGAAATGACCTTCTCATCTTTCTTACTCTCGACCCTGCCCTACCTCCCACTTCCCCCCCTATTTAAAAGACTAAGTGCCCAAACTAAACTCTTGAGCCTATAGCCCTCTCAGCCCTCCCCCCTTAAATGGACCCATGTCCATTAAAAGCTCTGTCCTTTATTCTACTTGTGTGACAGTGCTGTGGCATCAAACCCAGCCCGGAATGGGACATTTTCTAATCTAAAATTACGTCCTGGAGTTCTTTCCTGACCTCTAGCTCCGTATTTCCAACTGCCTAACAAACACAATGTGGACGTTCAGGGAACTCCCAAGCGATTATGTCCCTTACTGCGTTTATCCTCTACCCTCTGCTCTCAGCCTTGGCTAAACCCGCTTGTTCCCTTTGTCTGTCTTTGCTAATGGTGTTATTCTCCCAGCAACCCAGGCACTAAATATGCCTCCAACTCTTCTTCCCTTAACACACAAAAAACAAACAAATGATTTCCTTTGCACTGCACCTTATATTTATTCCATGACCATGCTCATCCTAGTAGGCTAGTTGGGGTCTTACTACTACTTCCTTGGGGTTAACAGTAATACGTTTTCCAAATTACTTCATCTTCCATGCTACAGCAACCATCATAAGGCTGGCTGGCTGACGGGTTACTTCAATCAAGAACTAGTCACTATTCTTGAAACAGACAAAACCAGATTAGGACCTGAAGGTCACTGAAAGCTTGGGCAAAAGTCTCAGGCTCTGGAGGGCTACGTCTTAGGCCTGAAAGCTCTTGCTGGCTTGGGAAATTACTTTCACTTAGAAATGAGGAGTGATAACTTGGGAGAAAACAGTTGCCTGTACTGGACATAAGTGACATCCTCAGAGAATAAGGTGGTGGTGGTGGCAGGGGTACAGATGAACGGAACTCTCTCCAAAAAGCGCTGAGAAATACTATCAGCGCTGGCTCCAGGTGCTTGCCCTGGGCATGGGCAAGGCTTGAGAGAGGTTTCTGGATGATGCTTTCTGACTACATTCAACCAAAGATGTAAATCTACCTACTTTCTGAGTAGCGATGACGCAGGAGTTTTAGAAAGTCTATTTCAGTACAGCCGCAGTCGTAAATCTCTGAAACTGCTTAACACCCTGAAAAATCCTAATTGCACATAAGAGATGGGACAGGCAATTTTCCAAGCTTAGTATGGACTGAAGCCCAGGCTGCGGCCCCTTCCCAAAGCTAGTGTGGCTGACATGAAAGAATCTGGGAGAGCGAACAGGGTAGTGATCGGAGATGAAAGGAGTGGGTAGCCCGCCTAGTGGGTGGTGCAGGGGAATGCAAGGCTATGGAATGGACCTGCTGCACATGCTTGAGCAGCTCACGTCAGTGAAGCGAGGGGACGAGCAGTGACTGCGGTGCCTCCAGCTGCGTGCGGCCAGCAGGTGAGCAAAGACCATGTTGCTCTGCCTGGGTCACCCTGCCTTATGGTTCAGAAGCAACACAGGAAGAAGGCAGGGGAGAAGAGCCTGGAGACGGCTCAGGGGTGGTTCAAGTGTCAAGATCAGGGAGAACAAGAGGAAGGGCAGACAGGACACGGCTCCCATCTGCATCCTGCGCTTAGTCACTTCACAAATATCTGAGCGCCTGCTGAATGCCAGGCATGGTTTTAAAACTTGAAAAAACAGTAACGAGAGAGAAAAAGCTCCTCTTCTACCAAACTCAGTGTTGAATAAGCAGGTGCAATTAACTGAGGGCTATGGCACCTGATTCTAGGGCTTAAGGCAAACAGAGTAAAATAAGCATCGACAAAGGGAGGCAAGAAAGACGGCTATTTTCAAGACGGGAATTTTACTGTCGCCTGGGAAAAGGCCCCCAATGACCTTCCCAGGGAGCATGCAGGCTCAGGCTTCAGAAGCGTCAGTGCCCAGTCGTAGGAATACTGGGGTATAGCTGGATTTGTGCCCTTTTACAATGACTAGATATGGTGCCTAGTACACTGGGGACAATTGTGGTGGCTGGCAAACTCAGCCTGTGAGTCAGGGATAAAACAGTAGGACTATCTGGAAGCTTCTTCTTCCCTTAGGCACCCATTAGCCTATCACAGACCACAGTCTACCAGAATGTCTGGTGGGAGGCCTGGATTTGCAAGTGAACTTGCTATGAAGGGACTTCAGAAAGCCTGCTAGGGTTCTAGAAAGCATGCTACTTGAGTCTCTGGTCCACTGTCTCCATTAAGATGCCAGTTTGAGAGGCAAGGGTGAAAATAACACAAAATTCAATGTAAACCTAGGTTTTTAATCCAAAAGGGTATCCGGAGGAACTGTGCGAACAACCGGCAAAATCTAGCTGAGGTTTTTGCAAGCCTGAGGGCATGGAGACCATCTGTGCCTGGATAAAAAGGGCATTACAGTGAACACGCTGATCAAAATGAGGATAAGCATGTGGTCACAAGATAAGGGAAAGTTTGGAATTGAGTCCAGAGAACTCTTCAGGTCAGCAGCGAAGAAGCTGGTAGTGGCTGCTAACATAGCCCTTCG